TCATAAACATTCTCTTCCTATAACAGTCACAGTTTTCTTTGATACTGGTGTAACCCAAACCATAGCAAACCCTCTTGTCTTACCCAAACACTTTTAGACCAAACAAAAAACCTTCTTTAAAATCGCTGATGAAAATGTATTTTCTACAGACTTTGTCAGCAACCCTGTTACCCTTCAAATCTTTTCAGGATGTCAAATAAACTCAAAAGATTTTAGGATCTCCACTTCCCCAGAAAGATCTTGTTATTGGTTTCGATATCATTACCACTATACCAGGTTTAAAACTTAGTGGAAATGGTATCAAGTTTAAAAGTTATTTTAGACCTTGGAAAAACCTTTCCAACCTCTTCACCCTAGCCTTTCAACCAGATGTTTTTCAAGATTTCAAACACAAGTTCATTCACTTTTCGTGTGCAGAAACTCACTCAGATTTTCTTCAGAAATGTGATCACCCACTTTGGCAAAACCCTAAAATTTTTATTTTTCTTTCCTTCAAAAAAGATGAAAATGCCAATCTTACAAAAGCTAGTCATTCAGGCATGAACTCAGATCATTTCAAGCAAGTAATCCAAGAATGCTCCCTTCTTCAGGCTCAAGGATTAATTGAACCAACCTCTTCTCTATGGACGTGTGAAGCGTTTTATGTCAACAAACGTTCAGAACAAGTTCGTGAAAAACTCTGATTGGTAATCAACTACAAGCCTCTTAACATTTTTCTTGCAGATGATAAGTTCCCTCTTCCAGACAAAAAAATTTTGTTTGTAAATATTAGCAAATGCAAAAGTCTTCTCAAAATTTGATCTCAAGGTAAGATTTTGACAACCAGGTATACATCCACAAGACAGATATAAAATGATATTTTATACTCCTCAACACCATTTCCAATGGATTGTAATACCTTTTGGATTAAAAGTTACTCTTTCACTGTTTCAAAAGTCATGACCAAGATATTTGCTCCAATCTTGATAATGCCTTGATTTACATTGATGACATCTTACTATTCTCTTCTGATGACACCTCTCATGCACAGTTATTGGATAAGTTTCAGCATATTGTTTAATAGTATGGACTAATACTTTCAGAGAAAAAGATGATCATTGGTGCTATAAAAAATTGATTTCCTAAGCATACATCTCAAAGATGGTCAGTACATTGCTCAACCTCATATTACTCAGTCACTTACAGATTTTCTTGATGTAAATCTCTCAAAAAAGTAAATCCAACAATTTTTTGGCATAGTCAATTACGTGAATGAATTTCTTCCAGATATTGCCCAGCTTACATATCCACTCAGACAGATGCTCAAAAAAGAACCACCCACGTGGTCTCAAGTCCAGACAAATGCAGTACAAGCTTTGAAGATAAAAGCAAAGTCACTTTTCACTTTAAAGATTCCATCAGATGGTAAAAAAATATTACAGATCGATGTTAATGAATAGTTCTAACAACTGACACGACTTTAGTTTTGGGCTCTCCGGATGATAGAGTCCTGACAATACTATCTGGTACTATGACAACAGCGTGTAGATCGATCAAACTTGACAAGATAATATCAACCATAAGCTTTTCATAGATCAGACATATAATCAAGGTATTCTAATCGGTGTTCAAGACTCTGACGCCTTTCTGGCTTAACGTCGAACTGGGGGTCTAACTTTTATGAAAATATGTCTTTCACTATAGTAACTTACTAGTAGTATGATCTTGGGGCCGTATGACTTTTCTTTAGCTGAGAAAAAGGGATCAATGATCTGTTTAACAGATTAACAAGAGTTTCTGATGTAGAGGATCTATAATAATATGGCAACTGCAGAGCATACTTAACTTGTATCACTGTAAACTTTAAATAGTTTGAAGATAAGTTATGAAGCTAAAAGATTTAATAATGGAAAAAGGAAGATGGAATCACCAAAAGAGAATAGAGGTTTTTAGCCAAATATATTTTTATAAAGGAAGGTTTTGTTACAAGGGATTTTTTTGATTGCTAGAGTGATAGATGATTTTTTTATGATTACTTCCTAGAGAAGTATCATGCTATTTATACAAGGAAAAAGTAAAGGACTAGTAGCCTAATAAGACAAGATTAGGACAAAGCAACTTTACAAGTGGCTTAGGATAAGACTAAAGGACGATGAGTCATAACTAAGGTACAATAACTCATAACTATGGTATAAAGGTTCATTATTATGGTATAGTGACTCATCACTTATTATATGGTGACTAAGCACTATGACTTATACTAAAGTATAGTGACTCATTATGACTTGACTAAGACATAAAGTTGAGGAAGACTTGACATAAGATTGTCTTGATGTGAAGTCATCATTATCAACTTCTGTGGAGTCTTCTGGAAAAAACTAAAAATATCACGCGTAATTATACAAGATTGAACTGGAATAGAGAATATTCTGTCGTGTAGCACCATCATTTGAGAGAACGTTGAGTGTATTCTGGAGAGAGGTTGAGGTGTGAATTATCTGCGTCTGGGGTGAAATCATAACCGATGTTGACTAACCATTGATCTGGATCAAAATCATCAAGGGGGTCTTGAGAATCTTGCCATTCCATTTATGGTTTAACTTCAGGAGGTTTTCAATAAGGATTCCATTCTACTGGGTCTGCATGGTCAAGTTCAAATCTGGTAGTTTCAGAAAGAGGTTCTGTCCAAGTACCATCAAGGCGAGTGTCATAAATTTTTTTATCAATGTTAAGCTGATAAGTGTATTCTGAAAGATAGTTTCCTCATGGAACTTCATCTTGGAGCTCTGGCTAATTTTGCTTAGGAAACTTGTGATTCATTTCACAATTTTATCTCTGGAATTCAGTGTATTCAACTGTGTGATTAAACTGAGAATCAAACAACGAATATCCTTGGGAGTTGTAAATTGCTGCATAGGGGAAATACTATGGATCTTTTGTCAAACAGCTGCAAGATCTGTGAAAGATTAAAATAATATGAGGATCAAGAAGAACTTTTGTATATCTCTCATAGGTTTCAATCCATTAAATCCAAATGGGAATGGGTCTGAACCAGGTGAAGAAAAACTTAAGATGTTGTTGACTAGGGTCCAACTGGTGTTTGGTAGGGTTGATGGTTGACTGCTGAAAAAGGTGAATAAGGGTTTTGAGCTTCGGAAGGGGGAATTCGATAGCAATATAGTAAAGGTGACAAAGGTACCATATAAAACAAACTGTTTCTTTTGGGAAACAAAGAGGTTCAGGGAATTTAAAAGGATGGATAAAAGGATAATCAGGGTGTATACCAAGAGATTGAAAAAAGGTGTCTCCAAACTTGCAGAGTGTTTTGGACTGGTATTTGAACAAAAAGTGTGAGGCTTTTTGGTCAAGGGTTTGAGTGACAAGAAGTCTGGGTAATTCGGGAGGAAGATTTTCCACGAAAAGGTTAAGAAATTCAGCAGAGAGATCAAATTCATCATCAAGGTGAGGTTTCTGAGAAGAGGAGAAAAGAGGGTTGTTTGAGGAAGAGGCTTGTGAGGAAGAAGGTGTTGGGTACATCATGGAAATGACTGGAATGACCTGCAAAGTGTTGGAAGGAGGTTTCGAAGGAGGTCTTATGAGCATATCTTGGATGAGGTTGTCTTTGCCTTTTATATGTGCGGTGGTGAAGGAGTACTGTGAGAACCATTGTGATAGCCTGAGTAACTGTGCATTTGGCATTTTCATCTTTTTGAAATTGAGCATCTGATCAAAGGCTGACATATCTAATTCCACGAGAAAGTGAAATCCAATGAGGTGAAATTCAAATCTTTGGATACCATACTTTACAGCTAAAATCTCTTTTAGTGTAAAGTGATAATGGAGTTTCGAATCTTTAAATTTTTTGCTTTTAACAGATATGTCTGGTTCCATCTTTTTCTTCTAAAAAGATTGCTGACCAGAACTGTTCACTAGCATCAGTCTGCAATATTCTTTTGCCATCTGATGGAATCTTTAAAGTGGGAAGTGACTTTGCTTTTATCTTCAAAGCTTGTACTATATTTGTCTGGACTTGAGCCCACGTGAGTGGTACTTTTTTGAGCATCTGTCTGAGTGGATATGTAAGCTGGGCAATATCTGAAAAAAATTTATTCATATAATTAACTATGCCGAAAAATTACTGGATTTGCTTTTGTGAGAAATTTGTATCAAAAAAATCTGCAAGTGACTGAGCAATATGAGATTGAGCAATGGATACCCACATTTAAAGCAGTTTTTATTGCCCTTCTTCAGACCTATTAGTTTCCAAAAAGGAAGCATCAAAAGAAGCCCTCATTTCATCAATCAATCACTGTCAAACACAGCTAAAATTTTGCATAGTGTGAGCTGTTTTAGTCATTTTTGAGATGATTAAATATGGTAACTATGAAAATAGATGAATGAATGGTGAAGTATTTGACAGTACGTAGTACTAATTATCTAACCAAATTAGACATATAAATAAAAGCTTATTCTACTTTATTATTACTTGACCTTTTCAACTAAATAATAATTTTAGAGTAAGTTTATGTGTATCATCTAAAGAAGAAATTAGATTTCTATTTGAAAAAGATTTAAGGTTAAGACCCTGAGAAGTTAATTTGAATCTATATGTATCTGACTTTCTGTAAGAGGCATAAAATACATACAAATCTTCAAAGATATTCCACGACTGCCTGTGGATTCTTTGCATCTCATCTAACAATTGGCTCTTCAACCGTATCCTCCATTTCGACTTCCTTGACTGGGACTACAAATAAGCCTGGACTAGCCCAACTGAGAAAATCCACTTCTCTATTACCAGCCGAATATGATCCCTTTTCCATTGGGTTGGGCCTATGGCTTTTTTTTTTAATTTATTCAGTTTTCATGGTATAATATTTTATATGGTTATTTGGATTTTGTTATACCTGAAGTCTGAACATAGAGTATACATATATTAAAAAAGAAAAAAAAAAAAAAAAAAACAGAAAGATCAATTTCCACAATGTAATTTTTTTAAGTTTTATATTTTTCTTAATTTTTTGCTTTAATTTTTGTTTGTTTTTCTACAAAAAAACTAGTTTCTTTCTCTCTCTCTCTTTCTTTTTCTTCAGCACAACACAAACTCTACTCAGTCTCTCTCCCTTTAGTCCTTCCCTTTTTTCAGGCTTTAGGGTATTTGCTTTCATCTGCCGGAATTTTTCCCTCTTTTTTTTTTTTTTTTGATTAAAGAGTGTCGAAGCGCCTCCCAAGTTGGGGGGCTTGAGGAGCTGCGGGAGACTATGAGAGGAGGTGATAATAGTGCTGCTACGGAAGAGGTCAGCCAAACCAACGCCGGAGATGGAGTGACCATCAACATCAGATGCTCCAACGGATCCAAATTCTCCCTTCAGATCAACCTCGATTCCACCGTCGATTCCTTCAAGACAGTTCTTGCCCGCAACTGCGATATCCCCGCTGATCACCAGCGTTTGATTTACAAAGGTCGGATCTTGAAGGATGATCAAACCCTTCAAAGCTACGGTACATCAATTCATCCTCTATTTTCCTTTTTTCTAACCGTCTTTCTCTATTCATTTCTTACTTAATTACAATTCCTTTTAGTTATCTTACAGTACAAAAGGATTAACTTGCAGGAGTCATTGTTGATCTCCTATATATTTGATAAACCAGAAGTATTTTAACCCAGTATTATAATTTGAATGTTTTGAAGCTAATGCCCCCTAAAGTTTTCCTATACTTCTTCTGGTTGAATACTCCTTATTAAGTTAGGTTCTTTTTGGACGAGTTGCTTGCCCTTTTATGTTGTTAATTTCTTCAACATACCAGTGTATTTTAAAAACGCTACTGCTATTGGTTCTTACCTGTTATAGTCTAAGTTCTTTTTTTCTTTTTAAATGGAACTGCGCCGCGGTTTGAGTATATAGGAGGGTAATTGACTGAAATCCCAGATGTTACTTCCACTAGTTATGCCTTTATAATTTTGATGGCATATTGAATTTTATACTTTAGGGTTGGAGGCAGATCACACTGTCCACTTGGTTCGTGGTTTTGGACTACCACCAACAACCAATGCAGCTGGATCGATCAGCTCTGGGGCTTCAAACACAGCTCAAACAAATACAAGTGCTGTTGGTTCAGATGAAGCTGGGGCACTAGGAGCCGGGGGGGCTGGTCTAGGAGCTTCACTGCTTCCTGGACTTGGTCTTGGTGGCTTAGGTGGCAGTGCTGGTCTACTTGGAGCTGGGCTCCCAGATTTTGAACAAGTGCAACAACAATTGACTCGGAATCCCAACTTCATGAGAGAAATAATGAACATGCCTGCTGTTCAGAATATAATGAATAACCCTGAGATAATGCAAAACTTGATCATGAACAATCCTCAAATGCGAGAAATCATTGACCGAAATCCTGAGCTTGCACACATACTTAATGATCCAAGTACTCTCAGTCAAACACTTGAAGCTGCAAGAAACCCTGAGCTCATGCGTGAAATGATGCGAAATACAGACAGAGCAATGAGCAACATTGAATCATCACCTGAAGGATTCAACATGCTTCGACGTATGTATGAAACTGTTCAGGAGCCTTTTTTGAATGCAACCACTATGGCTGGGAGTACTGGACATGATAGCTCAAACCCATTTGCTGCCCTCCTGGGAAGTCAAGGAGGAAACCAAGGCGGAGATGGATCAACTAACCAGTCCACCCCCACTTCTGGAACTAGTACCAATTCTCCTGCTCCCAATACTAATCCACTACCAAACCCTTGGTCTTCTGCTGCCAGTAAGCTCTTGCTTTCTTGCAACTTCTTGCTTTCTTTACCTCAAATTATTCTTCAGAATGTTTTACTTTAGAAGCAGTTATCTGTGTTTTTGTTCTGCTGGTTTACTTTCTGCTGATGGTTTATGAGTTATAATTATTCCCTTTTTGAAAAAAAAATGACATAGAGAACTTTTACCAATAAACTATTGATTGAATGAAAATCTGGCAGCTGGAGGTGCCCAAACTAACACAACAAATTCGAACCATAGTGTGGATGCTAGGCCGCGGGCACCTGCTGGGTTAGGTGGTCTTGGTCTTCCAGAGTTTGAAGGCATGTTTGGTGCTATGCAGGATTCTAATTTACTGAATCAGTTGATGCAAAATCCAGCTATTTCACAAATGATGCAAAGCCTCCTGTCCAACCCTCAATACATGAACCAGGTGTTAGTCTATCTTGTGCTCTCCTATAGTTAGGGCTTCGGGTAAAGTTTCTTGTTTTCTGACATTGCCAGTGTCCAGGTTCTTGGTCTTAATCCTCAACTTCAAAGCATGCTTGATTCTAATTCTCAACTAGGAGAAATGACGCAAAACCCTGAATTTCTTCGTCAGTTGACTTCTCCTGAGACGACGCAGGTAATTTATCCAGTCTGCTGTTTATACCCTCTCTTTCACATGCATGAAAACTTATAGAAGTGTGTTTCTATCTGCCAACAAGTTGTTCTGCAATCTGCATGCAAAATTATATTTGAACTATTTAGTCATTGTTGCTAACCTGACTTGATTCTTCTATTTGACCATAGTATCTTTTCACTGGAGGTGTTCTGTTTTAGAATGTTGTTAAAATTAGGATATAGAATAAATGTTTGCACATGGAAGGTTGACATTTGTCGCCATTCTGGTTTTTTCTCTTGCAGCAACTATTGACTTTGTGGCAGTCTCTTCTTTCAGAACTTAGTCGGCCACAATCAACCCAGTGAGTGGCATGATTGTTTCCCTTGTTTCCTTTTGAATTAATTTTTCTGCAGAATAATTTAAACTGCATATCCCTAAATTCTATATATATGTTTGGATGTAGTTTTATTAATGTTTTGAATCATGCCCATTTTTTCCTAAAAAAGGGTCTGATATTGGCATATTTTGTTTTGAAAAGCAATTTTGGATTACTATTAGAAGATGCAATATTTTGAAACCTGATTTTAAACAGGATACCGATATTATTTTCTTGTAAGCATTCATGCACTTCTTTCTTAAAGTGTTTTATATTTATATACTTAATTGTGAAACCACCAAATAGTAAACAAATAAAAGTGCTAGAACAGGAAAAAAGAAAATGCTTATGAATTAAATGAAATATTATTAAAGCAATGGGAATATCACTTTATAAAAAGATTACTAATAGATGATGGTTTCTGAAAATGGTGGTATCCTTTCTTTTTAGTAACCAAATTATTCCTGGATTTGTATGAAGTACTGATTCTTGCTTATGGTTTTTTTCCCTAAATCTGCTCCTCCTGCAGGGAACCTGCTCAGACTGGTGGAGCTGCAGGTATAGAAGTCATTTATGCAAAATCATTTTGCTTTTGTTGTCATAACTGTTGTTCCTCTGTCATTTTTACTGGTTTTTAGGAGTTCTTTGCTTACACTATTCAGACTTATTCTGACTAGTGATAACCATACTACTCTATTGTTTATTGATATCAACATCATAATTTAACAAGCAACATGATTTTGTCTAATCTTTCTCCATCTATATGTTTTTTGGCACTCAATTTTATTCCATTGTTAATAAAGAGTTTGACAAGGATTTGGTATTAACTAATAGTGAATTCAGAAGTCAAAACGGTAAAAGTTGAATGTTGGTTTGTACTACTATCATAAAGATTCTGCAGGGCTGAATCTCATCTCGTCTCATTCATCCCTCATAGCGGATGTCTTCCAGATATTAATAGCATCATTTATGCTCACTTTGCTTGTTTCAATTCAATAAAAAAGAGGGGGGGGGGGGGGGAAGCCAAGAAAAAGAAATTTTCTATATTTTATTAAAATTTATTTGGTAAATGGGTTGTATTTTTATAAGCTTAAAAGGTATTTTCAGGAATGCTCAACAACATGGGGTTGGAAGCACTGATGACCATGTTTGGCGGACTTGGGGATGGCAGCTTGGCTGTTCCTAATATATCTGATGGTTAGTGTTTGCAATATTTTATTTGGCCATTTTACTTTTTTATATTATTTCCACGTTATGTAACAAGCATTCCTTCATATCAGTACCTCCAGAACAACTATATGCCAGCCAGTTGTCACAGCTTCAAGAAATGGGTTTCATAGACACTCGAGAGAATATTCAGGCATTAATTGCCACAGCAGGGAATGTTCATGCTGCAGTGGAGCGGTTATTGGGAAATTCTGGTCAGTAGATTGTTATGGATATTTATTAGTTATGTGGAAATTTGTGAGATTGAAAATGAGTTGTATTCGAGGGAAGGAATAAGTTTAGATTAGGATTATAGTACAAGGGGCTAGAGAGGTAGGTGGGTCAGCGTTTAAGTGTCTTGTACATCCTCGATATTAAGATTGGTAATTAATGTGAATTGGTTGTTAAATTTGTTTAGCTCCGAAATTTATGTATCAGTGGTCTAATTTCCTTGAAAGAAACAGCTAATGAGTGAATATATGTATTATCTCAGCTGATAGTGTTTTGTTGCAGTAGCTAATGAGTGAATGTATGTATCATCCCAGCTGATTGTGTTTTGTTGCTCAACCAGTTGGTATAAGAAATATCGGATGGAAATGAATTTTGAATTTGCTATAACAAATATTTGCAAAATTCGGGGGAATAGAGGATCCTGGTGTTGTGTTTACATGAATTTCAGTTGGTATGAATGCGTTGGTATTGTTAAGGAATCGATGGGAGGATTTTAATCGTTGGTGTCAGTATCATGTATGGTTTTGGAGTGACGTACTATAGTATAAACAATATATATGCCAGCAATGATATGATATGATTTCCTCTCCGCTTTGTATATTTATACATACGAAAAGAAAAAACAAAAAAGATGTATTTTTCAATTGTCGTTAATTTTTTTAGCAATAATTTCGAAAACTGTATTTGTGATTTAGTTTTAATACTCGGGTTAATTATTGCTCAATGAGTGGAGAACATTAAGTTACGCATTTAAAGAAATCAAAGTCTTAAATCAGACGAAGCCACCAATTAGTTATTTATACTGGTCTCAGGTGGGATTCTCATCGTTTAATCTTTGATTACACAAACATCCCACATGCTAATTATCTTTCGTGTGCATGGATAATTTAACCATGAACAATCTAGGAAGATGAATATTTTTACTGTTTCTTTCAAGTTGTACTTGGTATGATAAGCTTGTGGCCGTAGTTTATATACGATCACATCTTGGTAACCGTAGTGTTACTTGTAGATGCCAAAGAAGAAAACAATTAATGCCAATGATAAAGCAGTGCTTGATTAATAATAATGTAATTGTCCTGTGTGGCTACAGGCTGACAAATCTTTGGCTCAGAAGTTGCTTCTCGCCTCAGTGCGAGACCAAGCATTTGATGACGTAGTCCCAAGGTTTTTCAGATGGAGCTAGGGAAAATGCTTCTTTTGCTGAGAGGCAGTCACGAAGCATTAGTTAAACAGTCGAATATATAATTACGAGGAATAAGAAGAATATATATATATATATATATGTATGTATCAATTATTGTAGAACATAATGTCATACAAGCTTTTGATTTTTCAATCTGTCTTCCATGTATCTTAGTTTGACGGCATTTTGCGGCCACACTAATCCAATCTGTATGCACTGGAGCTTTGCTGTTCGTGGGCCATGGTTCACGTGCATAATACTTTTCCTATACAGCTGAAGCTAATGATGTGGTTTTATATATTTTTAATAATTCTAGGGCTGGTTCAAAAATGGAACTCTGCTAAATCTTGATTAAATTCTCAAATATTTCTAGACAACCACGACAAAGTCAAACTCGAATAAAACATAAAACAACAGCACAATTTTTTCAAGTTTCCAACTGTGAAATGAAACGGTACTAAGCATATTAAAAGTTGCTTGATTATTCACCTCCACTCATGTAGAATAAAAATCCAAAAAACTGCAATTAATTAAAGTGGGAAAAAGATTTAGCAATTCTAATTTCAGAGGAAAAACTTTATCTGCCGATTTCAAAGGAAGTTAATGATCTTATATTATATAGGATTCATTAAGGCATGAAACGCATGAATTACTAGTCATTTACAGGAAAAACACAACACTGAATTTGATGACGATGGAATTGGAATGGAAGGAAGAGTAGAAAGAATAATGGAATGTTAGCATTTGACCATGTCAATGATGTCATTCATTGGCCGGTGGGAATATAAAACCACCCGAGACATGGGCATAGTCGTCCGTCCAGCTATCTTTTATTAGCCACAAAACTGTTTAAAGAGAAAATTCCGCCAAACATCTTACATTAAACAACGTTGATCACTCACTCAGGCTTTCGATTGCCTCTCGTTATCGCTTCTTACTCATTGCAAGACACGCTGCACTGCGAAAAGGGTCTCTTTCCTTTTAGCTGTTTTCGACACCAAACATTGTTGCCTACAATTTTTAGTATTCCTTTTCTCCCTTCAGCTTCACCCAACTCCACCTACTTAGATACATAATAAGTCAAAAAGGTTTTATCTTTTTTTTGTGTGTGTGTCTGTTTGATTGATTTTGTAGTGAAATAGTCTTCCAATAATGATGGAGAGGGCAGAGTCATGCCAAAAGCTATATGCAAGAATGCGGTTATGGGAATTCCCTGATGAGTATGTGATCGAACCCACCGATGGCTCTTCCGCTTCCTCTTTGTCAATTAGTCGTGTTGATGCCTCAATGAAGCTCATTGGTAGGTTGCTTTATCTTGTTATTCATTTGCTATGCCTCTCTTTTCAATATTGGTCTTTGGTTGGTAAAGTGCTACATGATTTACTGGACGTATATTTCTGTACTCTAGATGGTGTTCCAGAATGCAGCTCTATCCGTGTTCCAAAGATTCAGACAATTTTTGGGGTAGTTGGAATGCTAAAACTTGTTGCAGGTATGATAGTTTTCTCCCAAATTTCTGATTTTTTGTGTCCTCTATTCAGTTGGTTAATTAAGACAAATGGTTGTATGTAGCTTCTGTTCATCGTGGTACTTCTTGAAAGCAGTTTCACAAAATGAAAAAAAGTTCAACATGGAATGAACAGTGAAACTATAGTCCTGATTAGATCAGTAGGGCATATGGATCAACAAGATCAAATGAGACAAAAATTGGTTTTCTTTTATTTTTTTTACTTTTATTCTCTTCTTAGAATTGGCCTTGTGGTTTCTCCAATCATTTTGATGTGTTAAACTTTGTCTCTAGGGTCATATTTAATTGTTATAACGGAGCGTGAATGTGTTGGATCTTACTTGGGGCATCCTATCTTCAAAGTCATATCCTTGAAGGTTCTCCCCTGTGATCATTCTGTTAAAAACTCTCCTGCAGAACAGGTAAATCGGCTGTTTCCTCACATTTTCTTCTAGAAAGCATGATTATTGATTGATTAACACAAGAATCTTTCATACCAACTTCGGCAGAAAAAGTTGGAGAATGAATTTTCTCGGCTCCTAAAAATTGCAGAGAGGACTTCCGGAATCTATTTCTCTTATGACACCAATTTAACACTGAGGTGAACTGCTCTCTCAAATTACACCTTGCATGTATGCATACTTGGAATAATTTTCTTTCTAAAAACAGACAAATGTGAACCAAAACGGTTTTTATGGGTGCAACAACCTCTTTTTGAGTGATGTCTTCTTACCGCAAACCTTCCATCCAAAGCAGTTTACTTAAAGTCTCCACACTACCAAATCAGCCTTATATATGTGCATGATAATTGCAAAGAATAAGTTTATACGTGGTAAATTGCCATTCCCTATGGACACACTAGCAAACTTCAAATTTTTATCCAACAAGCATAGGCGCTTTTTCGAATTGTTAACAACTATATAATATTTTCATTTTGCAAGTCTTTTCTTCTTTTTTCTATATTTTGTTTAAATATTATATTTATGGGGAAAGTAATCATTACACGATTTGGTACACAACAGTGCACAGAAATTATATGATCTGGGAGATGAATCTAAATTGCTTCCTCTTTGGAGACAGGTAAATTGGTCATTTTTTAAGTAATTGATGCATATATTGCTCTTGTTTTTCTATTTTATGAGATTATTAGATTATCTGCCACTGGCTTCAAACAGTTTTGCTTTTATGGTACTCTTTATAAGCATGGTGTTTAATATTCATCAATATTTCCATGTAATTCTTCATTGCCACTAAGTTACTAAGTAAAGAGAAGGCCAAAGAAAATTTTACTAAGCAAAGAGGCTTTTTCCCCTATGTTCCCGAATGTTTGCCACAGGCAGAACCCAGATTTCTTTGGAACAATTATATGTTGGAAGTACTTATAGACAACAAGGTGAGTCTTTTTCCTGAGTTGCTTTCCAGTTTGCACCACCATTCCATCATTTACATTTGTACTTGCTCACTACTTTTGTTTTCTTTTGGGTTCTGTGGCTGCAGCTTGATCCGTATTTGCTTCCAGTTGTCCAAGGGAGTATCCTATATGAAAACTATCAATTTCAACATTTTGAAGCATGAGAAGTTCTTATTCCATTTTTTAACTAATTCATTATTGGTGTTGCCTTCTTTGTCTTTCTTTTTGAAGCATCTCCTTAACTGCTAATCAGGTTTTCATAACTTCCAAGCCGCCATTGGAAAAGAAATTGTAGATGTTACACTGATTGCTAGGAGATGTACACGGAGAAATGGTACTCAAAGTTAGAAATGCATCTTCAATATTTTTTTAGCTTGGTTTATCTAGATGTTAACTATTATTTCTGGAGAAATAAGGTTGTCCGCTATATTTTTTAAATTTCCTTTCAGGTGCGAGGGAAGGGGTTCAATTTTTGAATGATGCTCAAAACAATGAAAATCTAGCACTATAACAAATTCTCCTTTCTATTATGAACAAATATAACTTTTGCAAGTTCTGTATAATGCTTGTATAGGTTAAATTTCATCATTTATGTGAAATATTACCTGACAGGATGGTCCCCCACATTTTGAGCTTGGGAGGGGGAGGAAATAGATCTACCAAATAGATAGATAAATAATTTTTAATGCCAGTGCATCTTCATAATTCAAAATTTTGGGGCCTTATATAGACAGGCGAGTCTCATTGATTACAATTTGCATCCTTTCAAAGGAACCCGAATGTGGAGAAGAGGAGCTGATCCTGATGGATATGTTGCAAACTTTGTGGAAACAGAGCAAATTGTGCAAATTAATGGGTTTACTTCATCATTTGTTCAGGTAGCCAATCACTACTATTTTATACTTTATGTACTATATGCAATATATTATGAATTCTAATCTCCTTTCCAGTCCTTAAATTTTCTAGTGAAGTACCAAGCACAAATATATGGTCCTTAACGCTAAAGGAAAATATTACTAGTAAAAGTGCAGATGTGTTTCTTGCTTATTCCTCACCTTCAATAGTTGGAAGCCACTGGGTGATATTGACTATTGTGATTACTGTGATAGCAAAAGTACGACTTTAGATTCTTACTGGATATACGTGAGAAATATTAGGATGTTCAACATGAACATTGGACACTGCATGTGAAGGGGATTGGTGTGTTTTTTTTCTTTTGGGGGGGTGGGGGAGGTTATATGAGGAAGAAATGAGATTTTACAGTGATTCTGAATTTCAATGCTGGAATATGCATCATATCAACTCCATCAGGGACTTGAAAAGTTAACTACATGAGGTTATATGCGGAAGAAATGAGATTTTCCAGTGATTCTGAATCTCAATGCTGGAATATGCATCATATCAACTCCATTAGGAACTTGAAAAGTTAACTACATTAAGTGGTTTTATACATTATTTTGGTGTGTAATGAACACAAGTAGTAGAACAATGTCAAATAACCTAAGAGACTACATTTATAAATCCTTGGGCTTAAATAGTGGTGTATGCAAGTATTCAGCATCCATGTTTTGAGGGCCATATTTGTCATATTCTGAGTTATTGGGTCAGATGATTATAAATCCCTTTCCTTATTTTGCCTTTGCAGGTTCGGGGGTCAATACCATTTCTTTGGGAGCAAATTGTTGATTTGACTTATAAGCCTAAATTTGAGATTGTGAGACCTGAAGAAGCTGTAAGTGTTTTCATTTATTGCCACTATTCCATTGTGCACTTGAATTCATTCTACCTTCACTGACTTTGCTAGTATACGGCATATTATGCAGCCACAAGTAGCTGAGAGGCATTTTCTGGATCTAAGAAAAAAGTATGGATCTGTAATAGTTGTTGATCTTGTCAACGAGGTGAGTGTTGGTTGATTATTGGCGTGCAGCATGCAATTGTACTTTATTATCATAAACAATACTATATCCTCTTCTGAAATGCAAAGAGAACACTTTTTGACAACATACTGGCTTTGTCCATGCAAACAATGAGTTGTACACACTTTGCATATGCACGGAATATGCATGTAGATGAGTATAGGATTGTGTATTTCTGGATCCGAACAACCAGTCATTAATTATTTCAAATATTTGAACATGTGCCATTTTATCTCTTATCAGCATGGAGATGAGGGACGCTTAAATGAAAAGTTTGCAAATGCAATGCAGCCCATAGTTAGTGATGATTTAAGGTACATTTTCTGTTTTTATAAATCTTTATTTTATTTTTTTGTTTTTGGTTTTGGATGTGGTTATGTTTTATGTAAAGACCTCCGATCTTGCAGATATCTGCACTTTGATTTCCATAAGATTTGTGGACATGTTCATTTTGAGCACCTTTCCCTCCTCTATGATCAAATCGCAGATTTTCTTGAGAAAAATAGGTATGTTTTGATAATTGCACTATTTTGTTATGTAAATTTTGATAATTGTTCCTAGAGCACTTTTGATTCATTGCTTTTACGAGGATGGGTTTTTAAATAGCATTGCCTTGGTAAAAGTTTATAACAATGAAATAGAGCCATTAATGTTGGGTTCGCTGCGTCTGAAACTGATAGATACCTCTTGTTGAACGAAAAGGGTGAGAAAATGAAGGAGCAACTTGGAGTTGTAAGGACCAACTGTATTGATTGCTTAGACCGCACCAATGTTACACAGGTAAGTCAACTTAAACTGGAGATATACTTCTCATCTTGGCTTTGTCTATAGGGGGACAACATGTATGTAGCAGACACTTTCTTTTCAGGTAGCAAACTTATGCTTAGTGCTTACCTGCCGTAACAATTGCAAGCCCCCTGTTCCAACCTCTAACAGATTACCTTCATTCACTAAATACTGTTCCTTCTGCATGGTTATTACTCCTAAGAGTGATACAAGATATTTCACTAGAGGTGTATTAAGAACTAGAATGAATTCGAACTATTATTATAAACTAGATGGATGTTTCTGACCTTTGAAAGTGCTTCCTGTAACTAAATCAAGGACTCTTTTAAGTTTTGAATTTGATGTATGAGGACTATCTTTTAGCATCAATGTTGCTTTTGTTGTTTAAGGAGAGGTGTGTGCACACATGCATGTAATTATCTGTTATTCTTGTTTGCCACACTGTTAGTGTTCTTATTGGCCACCAAAAACACTGTTAGTGTTCTTCACTTCTGTAACCATGCAACCTATGTCTGCAGAGCATGATAGGCAGGAAAATGTTGGAACTTCAGCTTAAGAGGATTGGAGTTTTTTGTGCTGAAGAAACCATTAGCTCTCATCCAAATCTTGATGAAAGCTTTAAAATATGTGAGTATTTCCAGTTCCTACTCCAACAATTTGCTTTCAGAGGATGTTAGTTCTTAACATATTGGTACTCAGTATATTGCATATCAATTCAATTTCCTAGCACATGAATTAAAATTTACCTTTAAATGTTTGAACATCTTCAGTGTGGGCTAATCATGGGGATGACATAAGCATACAATATTCTGGCACGGCTGCACTAAAAGGAGATTTTGTCAGGTATTTCTGCACCTTGATTTTACAAATTGAATGTTAATTTGTATATTTAGCAAATGCTATATTCTTAAGCTATTTTGATGCATCTTGGTACAAATAGCTGTGCGCACATATTTCTCTGTTACAATGTTGATTGCTATATCCATGATTGCATAAGAATACTGTCATTAACATTAAATTAGAATGGACACTAATGTTCTGCTCTACTATGAATTTGATCTTTTTGGGTTGTAGGTTTGGTCAACGAACAGTTCAAGGGATCCTTAAAGATGGATGTAATGCCCTTGTACGTTATTATTTAAATAACTTTTCTGATGGAACAAAACAGGTACAAATACTTTGTTTCTTTAAGTAATACTTGCAATAATAAGAAAATAGGTTAAAATTTCCAACTTTTTGCACTTTACCATCTCCATTTTATATCTGTATGTGGAGTTTGGGATGGGGTGAGGGTAAGGTAATGTTTTAGTTCTTTCCATACCCTAATTCTAATGCTAGAAAATCTTCTATATGCACGAGTGTCCATCAGTAGAGCATTCTTACCGCTAACATAGGTGTCATTATTTTCTGAACAACCATCCATGCTGTGATTGGCCAATCACTTATTAATTTGTAATTGATGCAGCAGCCCTTTATGAACCTGATATCCTGCCCTTTTTTCTACAATAACTTTGTTATTTACACCGTTTATGAAGGGATGACCATCTCTTCTGTTATAGTATTCAAGTATAGATCCTGACTTCCTCTAATTTATTGGTCACATGCATGTAGGACACTATTGATCTCCTGCAAGGACACTACATAGTCTCTGTCAGCCGGGATATGACACCTCCATCTCAATCAGGAGGCCTTGAGGCTATAGCTGTAAGTATAAAGTGAACAAATTTGACTTTTAAGATTTCATTGCTTCATCATGATGTTGCTGAAGGTCTATAGTGTATGCTATTTCTTTATTTTTGCAATTTTCCATCTTGTTTTTGTGGATTATACAAGAAGCTTTCACGTCAGGCTAGGTTCCTCAACAGAAAATTACAGTTTCCTGTTCATTGGCATGTGCTATTGCTTTTTTATTTTAGCTGATGTTGCCAAGAATGAACACAGATGCAAAAAATGCGTGATTTTATCGTACATGTTACGTATCTTTATTCAACACTTGTAGCTGTTTTAGACCTTAAGTTCATACTTTGCGTTTCTGCAGTCTTTTCCACTAGCTTTATGTTTGGTCTTGATAGGGTTGTTTTTCACAACCATGTCTCTGAGGCGAGGTGAGTTGACGTCAGCTTAATCTTATGAAAGTGTAACTTCATTAGCACAAAACAGTCTTTGGCATAAGCTTTGTCTTCATTGTCTGCAGCTCGATACGATCTTCATCACTTAATTTTTTCAGTTCTATGGGCAAGCATTAGTGTTGCTATTGCAGCTTTTGTGAGGGCTAACGGCAGGATTTTCTGCAATCGGCCTCGTTTGAATAAACCTCGGTGTTGATCTAGCATTCTGAATGAATGCTCTGGCAAATACGAACTTGATCAACAGTTATCATCTTGCTGAATCATAGTTATTCCTTCATACAAATTTTTGTAGTCCATCGAGTTTAAAATTTTTTAATACCTCATTTATTGTTATTCAGCTATTTTTCTCCCCAACATAAAACTGCTAATAATATTTTTTTTATTTATTCTTTTGTTTTTTTACAAATGTTTTTTGTAAACTACTAGTAGTAATATGTGTATCTCAAAGATCAAAATGGATTTCATGTAATGCTATTTGAAACATAGAGTGATCTTAGCAATAGTCTATGAATAAGTTCGCATTTTGTTGATATATATTCATTTATTAAATTTAATAAAAGGTCATGAATAATATATCAAAATTTGTTAATTAAATGATTTAACAACAAATATAACAAAATTCATTAATATTTGATTTGATTATATCCTTGCTCTTTGTGATCTGCATGTTGACCTTTTTCTCTCTCTCAGCCTCAGTTCATACCAGCAAGACTTTCATGCCCTTTTCCATCTTCACCTCCTCTCACCATTTTTGCTTGATTTCTGCTCAGTAAAAAACATTAAGGAGGAACAAAAGAACACGATCTCCTCGTTCAATCTATTCAACGTTAAGATGGAAATCAAACAATAACATCAAATGCTGCAAAATTAAGATGGAAATCAAACTAGATACGACAAGAAAGCCCCACAAACTTGTTAAATCTATTCAACATTTACATTACAAAATACATGATCATTGTAACTAGTGACCAAAATGAAGACTGCGATTAGAAATTTTGTTAAAGATATATGGAGAAATCTCTGAAAGAATCATGATCTTTTTATTATATTAATTAAAAATTCACCAACGCCCATAAGAAACATATATATATATATATGCCAAAAAAACCACACACACAGAGTGCAGGATCTTGAGCCCGAGTTTTATTACTTAGAGCTTGACCGCGGGTTGATAGTTTGTAGCTCATGCTCAAGCGCCATGTTGCCTTGAGTGAAGCGGGGAACGTCGAGGAGTAGAATATTGTTGGCCCTGCCGAGGGGTACTTGAAGAATGAATAAAACCAGATTTAGAGTCGTCCTTTGATTTTTCCTTATTAAGTGATTCAATCCGTTCCAATGCTTCCACAACTTGTTTCATGGATGGACGGTTTTTAGGATCGTGCTCTAGACATTTCAGAGTGAGCTCGGCTGACTGTATTGCCGCCTTGGACAAATACTGGCCCTCAATCCGTGCATCCATTATGGTTTTCAACTTTCTTTTCTGAGACAGAGTTGGTTTAAGCCAATCAACCAAATTTTGCTGCCCATCTGGTCGCTTTGTATCAAATGCTCGCAAGCCAGTCATCATCTCAAGCAAAACGACACCAAACCCATACACATCACTCTTCACATATAAATGGCCTGTTGAGCATATAATGTGAACTATAATGTTAGCACTTAGCAACAGCAAAAGTATTGTCCCAGCACATTGCTTTTTAATGTTACATATGGTCATCTAAAATGCAACCTGACTGACCTTCATGCTTAGAAAAACATTTCTTTTTCCAGTCTCTCTTTTTCATATTGTTATCCAATTAATACAAAAGCAAAATTTGTTTGATACAGAAAAGTAGCTTTTTTAAGCAGTTTTGAACAATAAATAAAGAATCAAATGGGATAATATCATCACCTGTTGCAATGTATTCAGGCGCAGCATAACCATATGTTCCCATGACCCTGGTTGTTACGTGTGACTCTGCACCAGCAGGCCCCAATTTGGCCAAGCCAAAATCTGATATTTTTGCATTGTAGTTCTGTAGAGAAAGAAGAAACCAAATCGATTATATTGTTCTCTGAATAGGAATAACACTTTAAAATTGTAAAGTAATGATGGATGCCTAAACTTAGAAAGCCAAACCCTCATTTATAGCAAGACAGGCAAACATTCCTTCATTCTGTTCTATTGGATGGTCATAAAGTTTCAGTCTAAATTTTCTTGAAAAAAAGGTAGGAATCATGTCGATGAGAGGGAAATTAAAGTAACCAAATATCTTTCCAATGTAAGTAGCTTGAATTAGAATGCATGCACTTAAAATAAAATTCCAAAGGCAAGAAGCAAATAAGGACTAACCCCATCAAGCAATATATTAGAGGCCTTGAAATCTCGATAAATAACTTTCTCAGAAGTATGTAAAAAAGCTAGACCTTTAGCTGCTCCAATGGCAATTTTAAGCCTTAATTCCCAAGATAATGGTTGAATTGCTGGATTTCCTGCATAACCAAATAATCAAGCAATCAACATGGTTTTATTACCCATGGAGGTAAAATTGAATTCATTTTTCTTATTTAATTTTAAAATTCTTAATCATACGTCTGAATAGATGACTTTCCAAGCTTCCTTTTTGCATGAACTCATAAACAAGGAGCAGTTCTTCATCCTCCCAACAGTATCCCAACAACTTCACCAAATAGGGATGAGATAACCTTCCTAGAAAGTTCACCTCTGACTGCATAACAATGACAAATTAAGGAGAAGAAAAACAATTAGCAATTTTTCTTGAAAGGGGCGGGGGGTGGTAGGCGGGGCTGAAGGATTGATGGGAAATAAAGCTAACAACAGTAGGAGTGCAAAAGAATAGAGATTTCGAAATTTTTTATGATAACATCAAGGTGAGAATCAAATAATACCTGCCACTCCTCAAAACCTTGAATACTTTCATGCTTCAATTTCTTGATCGCAACAATCATTCCAGAGCCAATCTTGGAGGGTGTTAAAGTTTTTTCATCAACCCAACCTTTGTAAACTTTACCAAAACCCCCTTCACCCAACAGTGTATCACCTTTGAAGTTCTTGGTTGCAGTCTTCAGCTCTGCAAAAGTGAAGACTTTCAAATCTGGTGTTTCCAGGATCCGACCATCTGGGCTTCCCTCCTCCACAATTTCACTTACTGCCTCTGAAAATTGACTCCTGCAATTGCTAGCACTGCTAGTTGCTGAAAATTCTAGGTTGTTGCTGCAGTTATTTGATGTACCTATTGCAGATCAAAAAAAAAAAGTTAACTAAATTAACATTCTTTTGGTATCCTTATTCTATTTTTTTTCTCCATTCATGATCCAGCCAGAAGAAAAAAAAAAGAAAATTCTTGCAAAACAAATTAATTTAAAACCTCAAAAGAATTTAAGGAAAACCTTTGAAATTAAGAAGAGTTGTATTGTATATATAGTATGGTAATAATTAAATACCTGGGGTAGTAGGAATGTTGGTGGATCTGTGGCAGTGACTATTATCTCGATCAGAAGATCCCCAGCAATTACCCATATCGACAGTAACGCTTATCTCTGTTACCGAGCCTATCTGGATAAGAAGAACTGCATTCTTTGCTGTAGAAGTTGTTAAATTTGTAGGCAAAAACGCAATTAAAAGGAAGGAAAAGATATGTATATAATAAAGCAAGATAGCGGAAAAGGTCGGGTTCCAAGTTGGCTTTTTTTTTTTTTGCTTACTTTCAAGGATTTTTTAACGACCCCCCGCCCTTTTTTTTTCCTGGCTGTCAGAAATCAAGGAATCAACTTTCCTGCATCCCGAAAGCCTAAAAAATAAAAATTTTCATGCTTCATTTTCTTGGCTGTTTATTATACAATAATACTCCATAAGTCCATATGGAAAAAAGTGGTATTGTCGTGTTTTAGTATAAGAGTATAGACGGTCTGTATAGCAGCTTTCACCGACGGACTTAGCCAGGCAGGCCAATATGATGCGGATCAAGGATAGCGATAGCGATGCGTATGTCAACGACGTCGTGTAAGTTGTAACTAGTACTGCCTTGGTTGTACATATGTGAATTTCAATTACTCTCATCTTCCTTGTACTTTACTACGGTTCTATACTTTGACTATCCTAAATTTCTGTGTCTGCGTTCAGACAATATATATATATATATATATATAAAATATAGTATAATATAATAGCATGAAATTGAGTTTAATATTACAATCCACTGTGTCCTCACGAATGAGTTCATTATGCTTGAGTTTTTTTTTTTTAGCTGTAGTAATTATTTTTGGTCAAATATAGACAGTTTTTCCTAAGTTTCTAAGACAGTATACGTCATAAATGCAGGCAAATTTAGATCTTAAAGAGGAAGGCATAAAAAAAAAAAAAAAAAACTTACACTAATTCTTGAAAACCTATTAGATTAGCATATGTTCTAGAGCATCAATAATCTTCCCAAGTATTTTTAAATTGCTTTTAACAGAACAAATATATCGGTCATTATTCATCAATATGAATAGCTTCAACTAATGAATCAATCAGAGACAAATAAATGAAAAACTTTTTTTTCAAATGCAGTTGGCATTTTAACAATAAACTGCATGATCGTAGGTCAACACTGATCCCATTTAATTCCGGAGAAGTTTGGTTCATGCAATTATGAAGATTAATAAACACACAATAAATCCTTCTTTGCAGAATGTTGGGCTTCTTTTTCATGTACAATTACCAAAATGGAAGCTTTAAAAGAACCTGTTGCACTTCGTTCTGTTTGTTGAGATTCAGATATAGCAACTGAATTAGGAAGGCAATTAAGATCTTGATCAAGTATAAGAAGACTTCTTTTTGACTAGTAGTGATTATCTCCATCCCTGGTACCTGTTTCCTTGGACGACTCCCTAGATGGTCCTCTATCTTCTGTGCCACGGCCCCTCTGGAAAATCATTTGAAGATCATTGGCAAGCGTTGGGTGAGTCTTCAGCTTGGGATTTCTGAACAAGGACATGTTATTAAAGCATAATTAAAGCAAAATGGAAGTCAAGCTTGGCAGACCAAGACTCACTCTAAAGACTTGAAAAAATGGTATAAGAAATCTGCAATTCCTACTTATGGCATGGGTCAGATTTGAGTGAAGACTTGACCATGTTGTCGCATTAAAGGTCTTTGATAGCGAAAAGATAGGCGAGTATTAGGCCAGCTTAGAAAAATCAAAACAAGGACAATCATGCTATTGGCAATGAAGTGTTTAACTTGATACGTGTTCTACCTGGTTTTCTTAAGCAATTTAGGTAAGTTGGTACTTTCTCTAGCAGAAGTTACTAGATATGTTCACATAAATACCACTCAAAACAAAATGGCTCCATTAAAGGTTTGTAAGCAAAAGAAGAAAACAAATCTATATTGAACTCATGATATGATTAGACATCAATACAGCGAAGCAATGCTATTAACACGACATGAAAAATGAAAATAAATGAATAGCACATTGCAATCCATTGAAGACCCCTCTAATTGGCTAATTCTACGCATAAACTAATGCAAAACGATGGTTCTCAATCAAAGGAGATTTTGATTACTTTGGTTCCCAGCTTAGTAGGTTACTAGCATTAAGTAAAACATCATAGTTATATGGCTCAACAATGAGGTGAAAGTGACTGTAATCTGGATGCATAAGATGTGCTAGCTTCTGAGCACGGTTACCCGCTTCTTCTGATATTCTCTTGCCTCTGAATCCAATGTTCGAACAATAATTCTATTTTAAAACAGCAAATAATCAAATTAAAATGTAAAAAACTTTCTTTTGTATTGAATTAATCAAACAAAAAAAAAAAAAAAGACGTTGCATGCACATGTAACTGATTAATCATCCTGGCATAAAAAAAAAAAAAATCCATCCCATTCATTGAATCAACCAATCTAGCAAATGAGCACCTCAAAAGAGAAAATCTGAAAATGGATACATGGAAATGGAGAGTAAAGAAGGAAAGAAGAAGAAACAAGGGAGAAGATGGGCATGATATTCATAAAAGCAGAGCCATAAACCGATAACTCAGCCTTCAAAAAGCTCCTGAAATCGAAACCCTTTCAATCGAAGAAGTGAGGTTGCTGCCATTTCCACATACGGACCATCTTTTCTGGACACAAACTCTCTCTCAAACTCGTTTTCCTCCCGTTCTCCAAACGGTATACATGTAAGCTTCTACTCAATTCTGCAAAGAACACCAACAGAAATCAAGGAAAAGAACAAAACTTTAACCAAGCCCATGAAAGAAAAACTAAAAAAAAACATTTTTTATAAAGCAGCTTTAGTTTGCTTTTATGAGGGGATTAAGTCCTTTGTTGATGGTATTTTCAAAGACCAACAGAGTTGTCAGTGAAGGGCTTTGAGATAACTACAGAAGAAGAGTTGGGATAAAGCACAAGAATTGGAAATAGACAGCAAGACAAAGTTGAAGGTTTACCGGTCAAGAAGGACAAGTCAGCTTGATAGCTACATCCTGGCTCCAGCCATGGACCATGGTTTTTCATTCTTTTTTTTTCTTCTTCCCCTATTTGTTTGTGACTTAAAAATGAAAATGAAAAGCGTCCAAAAGGCATTTTTGGGTTTTTGTTCTTTAACTGTTCCTTGGATACTCTGTTGGACTGTTGTGTTTCCCAATGATCAACATCCCAAAATACTACGGACGAGCTCTTCTCTTCTCGTGGGTTATAGCATTATGGGGTATTTCTTAAACGAAATTGAAATTATGGATGGAAAAAGTTAGAGAACCAACTTCAATTTAGTACATGTATTTTAAAAAAAAAAAAAGGTGCGACTTTCTATGTGAAAGTGAAAATTTTGATATTGGTTACTTACTTTGGATTGGAATCGGAATCCGACGTTTTAACCTTTGTCATACAATATAAAGGATCCGAATAGTTAAAAACATCATACATGCATAAAGTCACTCATCAGTTCCTTAGGATTTCTCGTCGACACTCTACAATGAAGCTTTCATTTTGATGATGATATTTTCTTTCTCCAGGCCGTTATTACCCTCCCTTAAGCCCCACACCCACCCCCCCCCCCCCAAAAAAAAAAAAAAAAAAACCAAAATTGCGTAGAGATTAACAAATGGGTTGGTGCTTATGTCAATTAGATTAGAAGGCACCAAAACCAACTTTGCCCACGAACAAAACAAAACACTTTTTAAATGTCAATCAAATAAAAACAAAATATTTTTAAAATAAAAGAAACAAAAAAGAAGAAGAAAGAACGACGAATAAAGTGCAAAAATAAATTTTAAGGATAGTTACTAAACTATTATTGTATTCTTAAATAAGTTATTAAACTTTAATTTATTTCGACAAAATCACTAAAATTTGTTAATTATATCAAATTTAATCACTTAAACAGATTTCATCGTAATCAAAAACAAAAAAATAACATGACTACCACATAAGTTGCTATATAAATTGCAAAGTCATAAAAAAAAAAATTCATGTGAAAATATTATTTTTCTTTGGTTAAACTATCATCATTCGCAGAAATGTTTCCGTTTCTTTTTTTCCTGTCTGCCATATTCCTTCCTTTTGCTTCATTTTTGTTCTTTATTTGCACTTATGGTTTGAGTGAAAAGGATTAACTACCAAGGGTAAGTTGCAACCATGATCAATTGATTGTGATAGAACCAAAAAGAAGAAAATTTGAGGCTAGAGATAAGAAAGTTATTTGATAGATTTTATTTGGTTTCTTTTATCATTATTATTAGTGTTTTTTGTTGTGCCGTAGTAAAAAATGAGTTCATGCTTCTGTTTGACATGGGTTTTATATGATTTTTCTATGTCTATGTTTTCAATAGCCATTAGTTTATTCATTGAGAGCTTCAATTTTTTTTTATTCATAAAATATCATAGTATCGTCTTTTTGAATATTTGACGGAACTGTGTAATGTATTTATAATTTAATAATATTCGATAGCCATTGTTTAATGCTCCAACTTTGATTTTTTTCATTATGGATGAGTGTTTATTTAACATTATCTAATTTTTCTAAACATACAAGAAACAAGAAAATGATAATGTTTTTACACTAGAAACGTTTCGGCTATCGACGGCAGTTTCACCAAAGAAAAAAGAACAAGGAAAAAGAGAAAAAAATAATTCTAACATGGATTTTTTTTTTTTTTTGACTCAGCAATTTATATGATAACCATGTAATTTTTCCATCATTGATTTGGATGAAATCTATTACGTGATCAAATTTAATACACTTAACAAACTTCAGTGATTTTATAGGAATAAATCAAAGTTCAATGACTTATTTGGGAATGTAATAATAATAATTCAGTGACTATCCTTGGAATTTACTCTAAAGTGCAAAGCAATACAAGAAATAATCCGAGAAAAAAGGGTTTTGAACCATCAAAATTATATTTATTGATAAAATTGAAATTAATAAGAAAAGAAAGCAGCAAAAAGTGAAAGAGAGGAAAAGAGAGAACAAAAAGAAGATCAAATCTCTTACTTTCGTTTCTTGATAAATAAAATGAATGAATTTTACAAAGAGATGCTAATCAAAATCAAAACTACATACATACTAAAGTCCAAAGTCCAACATCAGTCAAAAGCATATCGTTATAAGGCCTTTGTTCTAATTGAGGAGTCGACAAATAAACTTGCTAACCCTGATACACAAAATCAACCAGGGTATGATCCCAACCTGCAATTTACAACATTAATCAGAACCCCAATCAAACCCATCTTCCAATTATTGTATCCTTTTATAAGGAACAACCAAGTTTGACCCAGGTATATGCTTTGTGCTCATAGCATTAAACACCTCCATGTGGGTTGTACTCTTGTAGATAGATCATGTTATAAACAATTGGGATAACAGAGAGGGAATTCTTTGCCGGGAAGGAAGAAGTTAAAATTATGGTTAGAGGTGCTAAAATCGAAAAGATTCCAAGATTTTTTACCATGACATTGTTGTTTAAAGAACCTCCAGTCTTCCAGGATAACACCTTCCCTGCAAAATGGCAGTCAAATTCAATCAATAAACAACCGATTTTCTCAGATTTTGTGTGATTCATATTTTGTCCTCCAATTGCTTGTTGTCAACTCTTTATGTTCTTGTGTAATTTAATTCATTTCTGGCCCGGCCCAAGGGACAAACTTTTATCTAATTTTGGGAGTATGTCATTAAGAAGCATGTATCCAAATTTGATAGGCAGTATGAGCGCAATCACATTTGGAAAATTTGCAGTTGAACAGTCAAACACGAAAAATAGCTACAATCTTAGCACAACAATAGCAACAATCATTATAGTTCATTACCAAAGGGTTGCACAAGTTGCTGAGATACAGATGCTATGGGAGACCTCCAAAACCAGAAGATTAGCACAAAATGAGTTATGACCTGCAAAAGCAGACAACCAATCTCTCAGGACATTGATTAAGCAAACAAGCATATACAAACTTCCAGACAGTTTCATTACACACAGAATCACCTTTAAGATGAACAAAACTTTCAGATACAAATCATAAGACAGCTTCACCTCTTTGCTCCGTTGTGCCTGATCTGGACAACAAGTGTTTCTTCTATCAATAGAAGTGATCTAGAATAACAACTTAAGGCGGGAAAAACAAAGGAAATACCTAGAAGATAGCAAGCAAGATATGGCTGTTTATGAGATGAAGCTCTCTTTCTTGAAAAAGAAAAGAAAAACGTATGAACCACAAATGAAGAATGAGAAAGAATATCTCATAAAAGTTCAAGTAATTGAAACCAACTCTTCCCTGACTTAAAATTTACATACTCTGTACAGCATATGAAATCGATCTGATTCGTCTCTCAGGATTAAATCAACCCTTACTCTTCCTTCTTAAACTTACCAGTAAATGTCTATTGGCTTCCCTTAACACCACTTGACAACCTGATAGTCCAGAAAATTAGAACACTTGAACTTTCTCCCTAGTCCTAATGAAATCTCCACGTCAATCATTTAATTGGAAGTTGGCAAAAAAGCTTAATGAAATCCAAAACACCCCAAAAAGATTGTTCAAAGAATCAAATAAATATAAGTTTATGCAATAAAGAAAAAAAGCATTAAGTCATTAACCAATGGCTAAAATAGGAAAGTGGCCTCACAATTTGAAAGTTCCTTCTCCTTGGCAGCAGCCGACCTTCTAAGCTTAGCTGCTTGTGCAAATGTAGACGGCCTATGAAGCCAAATAGTGTTGATTATCATGCAATTGCGATTGCTAAGCCAACTCGATGGAATTAAACGCTACTTAAATCACTTACTGTGAAAAGGAGGCAGCCTCTTTCAAAAGCTGCTTAATCTCTCCACGAAGCTGGATTTCCTTGTCAGTCTTGGACGCTCCCTAACCATGTAAAAACAAAATCTAATCAACAGGGTGAAAAATCGCAAGATAACTTACAATCTTCGAATTGACAATATCAAGTAGAATTAGGTACCTTCTTTAAATCTTGGAGCCGTTTGGTAGCAAATTGGAAGACGATGACAATGAAGAAGATGAGAGGAGCTGCCAGGGATCTTCTTTGTTCTTGGATTTCTCCTTCTCCCATATTTCTCTTAACCCTTTGTTTGGTTCATAAAAATTAGCCATCAAAGACGATTGTTCAATACCAGACATCAGTTCCATCAAAGCACATCAAAGACCATTGTTATGGAATTAGGAATCAGTCAAAATGAAGATATAGAAATTAGAGACAACCCAAATGAGAATCAGCCATGAATATGGAATCGGGAATCAATCAAAAATGAAACTTATTGCACTTAAAGATAACCCACATGAAACTTAGGCTATTTTCATCGCAAAATTTTTAAATCATTTCATTCTCCTTCAAAATCAGACTAATCAAAATCAAAACCAATAGGTGGCTCTTCTCATTCGCCATCAAAATCATCGGTAAGTCAACAAAAATCCGATGCCTCACCGTAAAAGAAAGCTAAATAGCGCTAAAGAGGCGGAAGTCGTGAAGGAAGTAAAAGCGGCGGCTGCGTCGAGTGGCCAATGGAGCTTGTTGGGAGTAGAGATGTGGAAGACGCCTACGAGGGAGAGAAAGAGATGGAGGTGGATCTTGCGCCAAATTCAGAGAGCCCGAAATCTTTTTTTACCTTATTTTCGTAATTTTCTTTTTTAGGCATTTCTTTTAAGGGAAAAACTAAAAAGTAAGGGAAAATTGTTGGCAAATAAAAAAAAATTATTCCAAATTTTATATCGTATTTTCCCTTAATTTAAATATTTTCAATAACAAAAAAAAATTAATATTACTGTTTGTTATATTTTTTTTTATCTTAACCGAAAATAAAAATCCAATAATTTATTTCTTATTTTTCTCAAAAAAAAAAAAAAAACCTTTCTTTCTAATCAAACAGAACATTGTTTTTTGGGACTAAAATCAAATATGACTTAATTCCTACATTATTATTAACTATTTTTGCATATCTTACTTTTTTTCTTCATTTTGGTTTCTGACTTCCAATCGAATTGAGGTTTAGATTGGGATTCATATGATTCGGTATATTAAAGGCCTTTGGTGGCCTGCCCTCTATAAGGAGGCTTAGGCCTCTCTCAATTCTACTATTGTAAGCTTGTTTTTGGTATTTTTTCTTTTTTCTTTTTCTGTTACTGGAATTATACAATTTATTTTTCTCAAGAATTTATGCTAATGATCAAATTTTTTTATTAAATTTGGTGCATAAATTAGATGACACGAATTCAATTGATGAAATTACAATAATTAAATAAATTTATTATAAAAATAAAAATTAATGATATATGTAACATTTTGTACTTTCTCTTTTTAAAAAAAAATACCTAAATTTAAAAAACTATCAACCTCTAATTTTTTACATATAATTCTTTTTCGAAACACAAATTCTCTCTTTTTTTTTAAACATTATATATATTTTTCGACCCTCATAATGCGTGTAAAAAATTGTAATTATCATAAAATCTTTTTTATTTTGATTATATTTTTATAAATATTTTGATAATTTTTTTTAAGTGTGTAGTATATATGTATGTATATATATATATAAGTAGTACGATTAGTATATCTTCATACTTTATTTTAGATCTAATTTGTGTATAAATATAAATTAATATTTTTCCTAAAGTTATATCAAAATTTTTAAATTTATATAATATAATAATTTTATTTATAGTGACATGTCATATTAAAATTAAACTCTTCAAAAAAAACTTCAAAACATTCTAAATATATAATTAACAATATTATTGCGCTAGAATAAAATATCAAATAAACAAAAGCCTTCATTTAATCAAATTAAAATTTTTTAAATTGCATCATATTTATCGACAGCTATATTTATACGCTTATAAATTTATATTAAACAAAAATAAGTTATATATATAAATTATGAATATGTTACCTGCGATATATATATATATATATATATATACTGCAGCAACTTGGACAATTGTCAAACTAACTGATTTCAGCACTGGACACATACATGTCTTGTAGGCAGGCACAGATTATACAGAGATAGGTGATCATCAGTTCAGTTAGCAGTTAAAGAATATATAATTCTGGTTTCTTTCTTGTTGGATTGGATTAATAAGACTTGGAAAACTGGAGGCACACTAAAATTGCCCCCTGTCCATGGGGGGCTGTGCATGAAAACGGGTCAGTACTTAATGTACTAGTAGATTGAAGGTGGATGGATAACTGAAACGTGGGTGTCGCTGGTAGGAACTGCCAAGTGGTAATTGTGTGAAAATAATAATATAAAAAGGTAGTAGGCTAGGCTAGCAATAGTCCTAGTATTTTGCTTCCGACAGACAGAGGTGCACTTGTGTCAGGAAAAAGAGGGATGAGAGAGGAGAAGAGAACACTGAAGAGCCACATCATTCAAAGGACTCCATAAACGTTGTGGGGACAACAACTTAATAGTCTCCATAAAGGGGTGGGACCCAATAATTCAAAGGATAAAAATTGGAAATATGAAATTAATTCAGTGATAATCATATAAAACATCTAAGCAAATAAATCAAGGTTATTATTACTATTATTCTCCTAATTATGGAAGTATGGATGCATGCAGCAGCAGCATATATACCAAGTCAAGGGAATCAATTCTTATATATATATATATATATATATATATATGTAAGGATGCTACTTACCCATTTTAAAAGGAAGGACAATCAAAAGATAATTTTGGAAAAGAAAAAGATTACCAATGTATTAATAAATGATGATATATAGCTGCAGCCAGCCGTGCTTACGTTGTATTTTGGCTATATATATTCACATATACATTCATATATATATATATATATTTTATATATATCCATACACATATATATTCACATGAGATGGGATGGCCCTAAGTCCTAGCTTAAACCGAGAATTCAAAAGAAAAGAAAAAAATATACGTAAAATTTGGCAAACTCCCCCAATTTCCAAAAGGAAAAAGATAAAAATATATCTACATATTTAATTTTGTAGATTTTGAGAGTAGGAGAAGGTCTTTATCTGACACTTATTCCTTCCTCCAAAAATCTTTTTTTTTTATTTTTTACTTTTAATTTTTTAAAGATATTTTTTACAAAAAATTTATTAAAATATAAATGATAAAACAATAAATATCTAATTGATTACGATTAGTACTATTTTGATATAAGTGCTTTTCAAAAAAATTTCAATATTCAGATTGAATATATTTTTTAAAACTGAGTCGGCTCGAAAATGGGTTGAAGACGTTATACCTTATTTTAGGTGTTCACGTGGTATATTCTTCATTTTATTTTTTTAAATTTTTTTAAGTTATTTATTTATTTTTTTTTATTAGATAAATTTTATGATAAAAAATTAATTAAGATAAAAGCAATAAAATAATTTATATTTGATAAATTTTGATTCACATTAATTTAATTATTATATATTTTTTAAATTTGAATAATTTGATTGATTTTTTTTTAAATCGAGCTCAATAAGAATAAAATTTTGAATATTATATCTTACCCTAATATATATAAATATATATTTATTATTTATTTAATTATATATTTATATATATTTTATTATAAAAATTATTATTTAATATCTTAATTTAATAAATTCACATACCACCTCATTGGATTTTTTTTTGTCATTTTCTTTGTTTTAAAATTTTTTTATTAGTTAAATTTTGTAAAAAAAAAATAAATTAATGTAAAAATAACAAAATAACAAAATAACCTATATCCGATAAACTTCGATTTGTCATAAGCTGATGCTTTTTTTTTTCTTTTAAGGATCGGATCAAGTCTTGCTTTTTTAGACAATTTGTATCAAATTGAAATATGACTTTGAGTGCTATCGAGATACATTAAATAATATATTTTATTATTTATATATTCTACGAGAAATTATTTGATATATTGATAATAATTTTTTTTTTAATTTTAAAAATAAAATTAAGATGATGATAAATATTTTTTAAAATTAATATTTTTAAACATATAAATGATATGTATCATCATTTTAATTTTACTTATGAAATTAAAAAACTCTGTTATTAATGTATTTGATAATTTTTTTATTATATTAGTAAAAATATTATTTAATATCTTAATTTAATAAAAAATTATATTTATATATAATTAAGTTATAATTTATATTAAAAAATAAATTATTATTCATACAATTAGTGTTTTAAATTTTAAAGCTTAACTTTTTTTTCAAAATAACTTTTTTTATTTTTTTAAAATTTTAAAATAATTTAAAAATTTTAAATTTTTAACGAAATGATGTGATGGTAATAAATATCCCATACACCTTTTCCTTTTATTTTGTAATTTTTTCCCTTTCTTTAATTTCTTCTTATATATATTTTTTAAGTTTGTATTTTTTTTTAAATTCTTTTTCAACTTTTTTTTTAAAATTTCTTTATTCGAATGGTGTGATTGTAGTAGGCGTTTATTATGAGAAGATGTAGTAGTTGTTTTTTTTTTAATTATTTTAAATTTGTATTTCAATTTTTTATTTTTTATTTTTTTTTCCTTTTACCCAATGTCTTTTATTTTTTTTACTTGTTTTTTACAAACTTTTTTTTTTTATCATTTTTTCTTGAAGGCAACTATCATTTTTATTTTTATTTTCCATCATCTCTCTTTTTAAAAGTCCCTCATTCTCTTATAACTCTCTAAAAAAAATAATATGAGAGAATAATTATATACTGAAACGGAAAGTGCTCTATTGAGATCGAAATCCAAGGAGGATATTAACTTATATTGACTTTTAATTTGTGTTTACATTTCTTAAATATTTTTATTATTTATTTTTAAAAAATACATTTATATTTATTTATATGTTAGTATTAGTTTAAAATTGATAGAAATATTGTACTTCTCTCAAATTTAAAATATAATTTTAAAAATTAAAAAATAATCTAGCAATTATATGCGGGTCTAATTCTAATTAACACTTCTAGTCCTCTACTACCACATCCATGTACATCCAGCAGCAACACCAATTAGGGATAAGAAAAAATAAAAAAAAATTAAAAATTGATTCAAAATCAAAATGTTCAATTTGGTTGGATCATTTTTTTTATTAAATTTAAATTAAATTCAGTTATTAAATATATATATTAAAATCAGGTCGAATTTTAAATTTTAAAATAAAATTTTAAATTAATTATATATTTTTATATATTTTAAAATTTATAAAATAAAAATAAAAATTTTATATCAAAATTTATTTAAATATATTAAAATTTTATATTAAATTAATATATAAAAAACAAAAATTAAAAATTAAAAATTAGTAATCAAACTAAATAATTAATAAAATTCAATTCCATTTGAATCATAAAAATATTCAATTAAAATTCAAATCTAATTTTAAAAGTTTATAATATCATGCAACACCATCATCAACTAGTAATACTAGTAGTTGTTGAGTTTGTTCTATCGGTTTGTCCATTTCCTACGACTTTTTCAAACTTGTCTCTATTTTTCCTCTACTTTTTTTTTTTTTCTTTTGCTTTGGTGAGCTCTGACTTTCCTTTCTTCCACATAAGACTGAGAGAGAAATTTGGACAGAGTTTGTATTATATGAGTGAAAAATTAAAAGCATGATAATGGAATGGGAGAATCAAGAACAACGGCAACAGAAACATGAGAATCAAAACCAGAGAGAAACTGTCAATGCAAATGTGAATAATGGTGGAGTGATGTATGTCAAAGTGATGACCGATGAGCAGTTGGAGACTCTCAGGAAGCAAATTGCTGTTTATGCCTCCATTTGTGAGCAGCTTGTTGAGATGCATAAGAACTTCACTCACCACCAAGATCTTGCAGGTCTCTCTTTCTCTCTCCTTTCTTCTCCCTTCTATTAGTAAATATATATATATATATGTATATTTCATCCTCAACTTTTCATTCATGGTCGGATATGGTGCTTACACGGCTCGTCTCCTGCACATGTTTATTTTTATTAAGTTTTCTCTGCCCAAAGTATGCTCATTTATGGCTTCTCTTATGGCCTTTTCCTTTGCTGGTTTCCAAAGGTCTTTTTCTTTTCCCTTTCTGGGTCTTGCGCTTTTCTGATTTCAATTATACAGGGCTACTTAATTTTGGCCTTGATTACATATGTATACCAGTTTCAGTCAATATATCTACCTTGGGCCTTGGCTGTTCTGCTCCTTGGAAGTTGGATCTACCCTTTGGAGTTGTCGCTGTCAAGTGTTCAAGGATTGGCAGGAGACTTGTGGATTTTCTTCTGTTTTAGCTTTTGGTTGCAGCAGCATCTTCTCTTCATACTATTAAATTGAATAAGATTGAACCCGCATCACCAAATTCTCAAGGAATGAAATTGTTGAGTTGGTTGCTTCGTTTTCAGGGGCAATCTTTGTCATCTTCAATTGTCAAACTCCTGTTTACAAATTAAAACTACTTCTTTTATTAACTGTTCGGTTCATTTGGGTCAGTTTCATGTACTGATAATTTGGGCGGTTGATTCGGATTGTTCATTTCTTTTCTATCTTGCTATTCCTTAACCTATAATTCCTCCCTTTTATTGCTGAATAAGTTAAATACAGACCAACTGATCATTGATGCTTATCTGTTTTCCAATTACCAATAGTAATCTAAATCCTTTCTTTTCTTTATGGGAAACCCACCAACTTTAGGAGCCACTGTATGAGAACAGAGACAAAATCATAACAACGATTTGTCGAAAATATAGTTGGTAGCCATTAACGCAAATGCCTATCAGCTCGTTCTAGTTTCTGCTCATTGTATCATTTTCGATTTATTTAACGGCATGGAATTTCACTGGTGAACCTTTTCTAATGTTGATTAACTTTTGGATTTTCCTTTGGAAGTGATTGGAACGACAAGGCTACCCTGAGGTTAGCTTCTTTCAATTGTGTTTCCTAACAGTTCATGGCATTGGCATCCTTACAACCCTTGTTATCCTTTTTTTACATTTACATTGTTGCATTCAGACGATGAAATTGAGGATGTTGCGGTTTCAGTTTTTGTTGATCTCGTTGATTTTGATAAGCCTTATTAACAATAAAGCTGGAAAACATGAAAATTTGATGGCTTTTTAATTTCTGAAAACTGATAAAAGTAGATTAAGCTCTGTCATCTCAGATGCTTGCAATCGTCAATTGTGATTGAATATTTGATTCCAACAAGAACCCATAACCACTACCAATTTCATATAATTTTAAGACTAAATATTGGTTGGCTATTGAAAAACTAAAAACAAAAATCATTTCTCTTGCAGGTAGTAGGCTGGGAAATCTCTATTGTGGCCCTTTAATGACATCGCACAAAATTACTGCTAGACAGCGCTGGACTCCGACACCTGTCCAGCTTCAAATTCTTGAACGTGTCTTTGATCGGGGGACTGGAACTCCAAGCAAGCAAAAGATCAAAGAGATAACCTCAGAACTGAGCCAGCACTGCCAAATTTCTGAGACAAATGTCTATAACTGGTTTCAAAATAGACGGGCTCGATCTAAAAGGAAGCAACTGGTGGCATCATCCAACGATGCTGAATCAGAAGTAGAGACAGAAGTCGAGTCACCAAATGAAAAGAAGACAGAGCCCGAGATTCTTCTCTCTCAGCAGAACCCTGCACCAAGGGCCGAAGATCTTTGCTTCCAGAAACCAGAGATAACCTCTGAACTGCATTTCTTGGGTGCAATGCCCAATCCAAATACATACAATGGTTAGCATCTGGTGACTTATCCTTTTTATCTTGCTATGTAAATTGAATGTTTTGATGTCAGTAGAAGGATCCTGAGATGTCTGACAGACTGATGGTGAAAGGAAAATGTCTTATTCTCCAATATTCCTTGATACCTAGTGGTTATGTCCTAAATTTCCATTTTCCACTTACACTGATGGTTTGTGATCAGTAGCATTTTCTTTTCAGGAAGGGCTATAATAAAGACGTAATTTGGCAAATCTAAAAGATACTGCAGTCATGGCTTCATTGAATGCCTTTCACCTTTAGTGAAAATTTTTCCTGCGGGAGTAAAGATATCTCATCCTCTATATATTGTCTGTGTATTGTTGTGTCTGCTAGTGCTATATTGTAATAATTTTATTGCAGATTCCAAGTAACGTTGATCTTATTTCATCCTATTTAATTGATATAGGGGATGGCCATCTGTCTGGAAAAATGGGAATGCCAGGGAGCTACAACATTTATGGGCAGGCAGAAGACTACAGAATGACTGGGTGAGACTCCAGTGTCACTTTGTGCACCTCCTGCCACTTTGTCTGAAAAATAATATTATTGGAAGGTGGAAGCACATGCTAGTCCAAGACTTTGGTTGTTGGACTGGAGACGACACAAAAGAATTTGGCCTAATTATGGAATCATAGCATGCCTAACATATATAGTAAAGCTAATATACTTGTAGTTTGAACATGAAATGAGGTGGTTAAGTTGGAATAGGACTTGCTAGAATGAATTATGAATGTTAGTCTGCCTTTGTGCTATGACTTTTCGTGTTGGTTATTTTGTTAATAGAAAGAACTCCATGAATGTTTTTGGCAAGTTCTTCATGCAATTATGATCATTCTTGATTTTGTTAAGAGTAGATGATTCTTTGGTTCGATTTTGATAGTTAAACTTTGGACATTAAACATATGTTTGTCTCCAAAGTCCAAAGAAAGAATGCGGCAATCATTGCAATCACAAGCTTGAACTTGACAAGCATGAGGATATGCAGCCCAATATCCAGGTGCTGGTAATGAAAAGTCAATTTTTTTTTCTTTGAATGGGATAATTTATGTGAAGTCTTTTAAGTATTTAAGTAGTATTCATCCAATGCAGGCCTGCAAAAAGTGGAAAGTGGTAACCATCCATGACCAAACAAAGCAGAAACAGAGTAAAAGTTTATCAACCACCACACGATATCCGCTTGAATTTCAATTTAAGTAGGTAGTGATTGTGAACAATGATTCACCTCGTTGATCTGGTTGTTGGGTGGATTGATCCTTTCCTTGCTATCATAACGGCATGCAGTCATGATTACCTTTGAAGTAGAATGATAATCTGTTTGCTGCTTCTCAACTGATTTCACCCAAAAAAAAAAAAAAAAAGGAAAAACTTATTGAGGAGCCCAGCTGTAACCGTTGTGCTTATTTTTTTTCTTTGGTACCAAATAATTGTGCTTAATTACTAAAGATGGAATCAAATTTAACCTCTCAAGTCATAAATATATATAAATATATATATAATCATATTTTTTATTAGCACTTGAATATCTCTAACTTCCACCTCCGCTTTCATCCTACTATATCTAATAGTAAATTTTGTAGAGATTTGAGCATAAGGAGAGTGCCCACGTGACACCTCTTTTTTTATTATTAATTTTTTTCCGTGTTTAATTGATTTTTTTCCTTTTTTTTCATTGATATTTTATTTTTTACTTTATTTTTTAATACCCATCCTTCCTTTTTATTTTTTTAGTTTTTAATTTTTTGCTATTCTTTATTTTTTAGGTTTTTAACTTTAATTTTTTAATTAGATACATTTTGTAAAAAAATCAATAAAGGTAACGACAAAAAAACTTGTATTTAATGGATATTTACTCCAATCCAATGATAAGTGCATTTTTTAAAAAATTCAATATTCAATCAAGAATTAAAAAAAAAAAAATCAAAATCGGATGGAAAGTGAATTGCAAATATTTTATCTTGTTTTAAATATATAAAAAATATATATTTTATTATACACCATTCGTTTATTATGTTGAAGTTGTAGATTTTAAAATTTATTATTCATGGTAACTTTTAAAAAGTTTTAATTAAGTAGAAATGAACGTTAAACATCTTTAGATACTTGTTTTATGGTATACCATCAGTAAAGGAAAATATCTCTATAGGTATTTTATTTTATATACAATTAGAATAGAGATATGCTACTCCTTGGAAATTGATGAGTCATAATTTTCCGGACGAAACTTCTTTTTCTAATGGGCAAATAGGACTATAATGTAAGAAGGGGAAACATCTGCTGTTACTTTGTACCACAATTTTAGTTTGTTTCTCTGAATTACAAGTTGCTGTTCTAGGCTGTCGTTCAATGTTAGGCTTCAGTTTTTTATTCCAATCTTTGCATTCGACATTGCTATCTCCTGGACTTGAAAGCGTTTCTCAGGCATTTCTAGCTTTAATTTCAATACACTTGGTCATTCTTCTCTCACAATTGAAGAGAAGCTAGCTGTTGGCAAGCAGCTTAATTAATATTCATAAATAAACCTTTCAGATTTTTTAGTCATCGACTTTTACAAACAGTAGTGGTAAGAGCACATTACCAGTGCTATTTTTTTTTTCTTTTAATCTTCTTTTGTTTTACTTCCTTGTAGTAGAACCATCCACAGATTTATTCCTGCTGGTGAGACTTTGAAAGCTGTATTCCAGTAACTTGTTACTGGAGCCTCTCTTTACTTGTAAGTGGGAAGGAAGAGCTGATGTTGGTATTCAAGGTAAAGCAGCCGAACTTGTTCACTTCATTCTCTTTTACTTCAGAAATTTAAGGGGGGGGGGGGTACTGCTTATATCAAGTAATAGGAGAATTGTCTCGGGGGTGTATATGTATTTGTGGATGTTGTCATATATACTTATATAATAGTTTTGGTAAATATACATTATTTTATTAATTTTGGCTTTAATTGAGTTGGGAGAAGTGATTCCCTGTGAAGGAGCAACACCATCCAATAAAGATGTTGCTTCCCGAATGGAAGGCCTTGTGTGATAGCATTGACAACAAAGAAACATCAATTAGCCAAAAATACATCTGGGTTGCTGCTGCAACTTGCCAAGATAGTGGAAAATGCATTCTCGTCAAAGCTCAACAAACTAATCCATTCTTGTAGAAGTAGAAGTAGAAGAGGATGAGCATTAGAGATTATCAGCAAGTTCTCTGCCTGTGACAAAAGGAAATAGCCTTCAACTCTCAACTCAGCAAGAACCGTACGGCCGTACATGCTGTACGGTCAGACTTAAAAGCTCTTTTAAATTTTTGCGTAGACATTGGGTAGACTGGTCTCCTTATAAAAAACTGCTTGATGTATGGCCTCGCCCAGTCACCCTAAATGACCTTTCTTGGGATTTATTTATTTGTTTATTTATCCGTATCGGATCTAGTTAAAAGGGTTGGGATCAGGCTCAGTTGTATCCAGAAATAATAGAAGTGCATCATTTTCACCGCCAATGTATGGGTTACAAATGCAATGAAACTAAATGGAAATGCTCAGATATGAAAACCAAACTTTGCCTGTGGGTTTGCAGACACGGCAAGAATTCCACTGCAGAATCACATTTCTCAATTAATGGCAGATTGCCGGCTCATTTTGAAATTTTTATGGTTGGAAAAATTATTCATTTCAGTATCGTATGATTTTATGCTATCAGGTAGTCAAAGATGTAGCATAATTGATGATTATATTATACTGTGGTTAAACAATAGGCCTTAGGTTCATCTGTCTTCCTTCCCAATCTACCAAGAAAACTAGAAGTAGTTAACTGGAAGTAGGTTCATTCAAGGCTGACTCTATGTTAGACATAGCCCATGCCACAGCTCTCTTGGATCATCATCCGTTGCATGCATAATGCCCCCAAATTCACAACTGGGACAGTGGTTGGTCGCCCACGAGCACATTGCAGGATAAAGTTTTCACATTTATTCATGAAGAAAGCAGGTGGACCTCTCTCTAGTCTCTCTCTCATATGTGCAAATGCATGCACACATACACAACGTCAGGATTCAAATCTGCGAAAACATCTTGCTATGTTATATGTTTAGCTCACTTGGAAGCACAGCGAGGTCTGCTTTAGCTCTTCAACAATTAAGGAACATTCTTAAGGATTCTCCAAACATAAATTGCAGCTTAGCAAGGAAAGGATGACATGATGTTGCTCAAGCTAGACAACTTGTTAAGAACGACAACATATTATCCACGCACAAGTTCTAATGCTAAAACTATATTAATGAAGGCTATGAAGTAGCTAACTGGAAGGAATTCCAAGACTAAAATAGATAAAAGTCCAAAAAGACTCATCGATACCTTCTACAGCCACACTAGAGAATCTCACTTAACCTAACACAGGTGCATACAGGACTACTTGCTCTGATAATTATTGCATTAATTGCATTAACCATGTATTATATAAAGCATAAAATTTCCTCCCACATGTATAAAGATTTGAATTTGATTCCCAAACTTGCCACTAGGATGTGAGATTAGGCATATAACTCTGCATTCTTTGAAATTAAGAATTCGACTAATCAATGGAGGCATTGTTGATGATCCATCTACATCAGCAAGCTATATATTATGAATATAAATTATAGTTTGAAATGAAATACCTTTACCCCCCATGTAAAAGGGAAAGGGGAAGTTGGATGGAAAAGTTTAAATAAGTAATGAACCATGTATTACCTGGTCAAGAAGTTTAAAGAGATCAACATCAGATAAATTGACACCTAAAATTCAGGGTACCTCCATGTTATCCATAATAAAATTTTATTGACATATCCTACATTTGTTCTATGTGCATCAAATTTATAAATAAACATACGTAATGCATTATGGTATCTTTCACATATTTATGAATGATGGTTGCAACTAATGTGTTTTAATCAAGTAAACTATTCATATAACTGTTGTCATGATTAATCTGTCCCTTTCTAAGATCAGTATGTTCAAATGACCTACATCATGACTAATTGACCTCTCTTTCGTTCTAGTTAGTCAGATGTTCCAAATAGAACCACTATTTCTTTTGAAGATCACAATCTGATAAATGGTAAACCCATGACCCTATTTGTGCCTGTTTTGTTGGACATAGATGAGCTTAAGGTACCATTTTCCAGCTAGAAACCTACACTGCAATAGTTAAAGCAGAAAATGCATGCTAAGACAAGAGTTATGTTCAAGGAATATAAAAAATGCAGGTAATGGACCTGATCAATAATAGCAAGTGTTCCACCAGCTACAATTGGCATAAATTTCTTATCCACCTGTTACAGAACCTTGGCATCTCTGAGACACTCATATTGATAGATTCAGGAAACAATGATTCAGTGGCAAGATAAAGGAATCCGGAAGCAATCTCAAGTAAATTATCTTTGTTGTCAATATCACATAATTAGCTGTTGCTCTGCATTAATTATAAAGGAATTGGGAACCTGGATTGCATATGCTTCTTCCTACACCTTAAACACTAAACCCTAATCATGTACAACTGCTTGGAATCAAGGCATTAGTCCATGAAGAATGAAAATTTGGATTTTTAATTAGTTATTTGGGGGGATAAAAGGAAAATCCTAAAATTTTTATTTTGATCCATTGGATAGGGGATAATGGATGGGGTTGGTGGAGTTCTACATGTCTTCCTAAGTCTTCTTAACCACTAGGCCAAGAAGTTGAAGACTCCTAAATGTTAAATGATAACATAAAGATCAACTTAAACTTGTCTTATGTCACCTGCTGCTGCTGAAACTTAGATGATAAGTCGCAGAAAAATAGGTAAGTTCTAACTAAATCCATCCTTTCATATGAAGTTAATCCCAGTACCTACTGGAAGGAGCTTTACTATTCTCTATTTTACCAAAATTCAAACAGGTGAGAAATTTAAGTGCTTTTGCACCCACCAGAGTCATCTCCTAATACTTGAGATTACCCAACTAATCTTTAATTTGTTTTATAACTTCAAAGCTAGAATCGTTTCTGCTCTCTTCAGGCTAAATATCAAAAGCCTTTAGAAAGTGAGGCGAACACATCTCTCTAACACACAGCGGGATTTAAACATTAGAAGGCATGAATAGGTCTTCAAGTGAAGTAATAATGCCTGTGTGCTAACAGTGGCAGAGGCCAGAAGAATGTCCTACCTGTTATGCCCACGTCTTTCCTATTATCCTCAATTCCAAGATACAAATTCTTGGTTCCTGGCAATGACAAGAACCAAGAAAAGTTAATTGCAGTACAAATCGAAATGAATAACGAAGGAAAAAGAAATTTATCACAAAATAGTCAGTGTATATACCTTAATGGCCTTGCGGTATCCATTTGGCTTCCATAAGCTTTTGTTACTATTTCTACCAAAGCTGCATCATATATAGAAGCTAGTGCTTCTCACCAAAAGCCAAAGCTCCCACTGGCAGCATCGAAATCACCCAGATGGTAAAGCCTTTGACTAAAGAAAGAAAAACGAAAAGCTGTTTGATTGCGAAGAGAAACAAATGTGGAGTTTGATTACCTTACCAGAGCTAAGCTGAGAGGGAAGTTATAAAAAGTGGGTAAGGTTTAGGGTTTTCACTGATTTAATAATCCTTTGTTTGAGTACAACTGCAGAAGTGGCAGTCATTCTAATTTGTTTGATGAATACATACATAAACAATTAGAAATATTATCTGATATGAATAAATGCAGCTGTAAAACAGAGGAGGGTGAATGGTGAAACTACTTATTTAAAACAAAGGAGTGGAGGTGGAGAGTTGTTGTATGCAGCTTTTGCATATTTACAGCATTGATGATATAATCTTTTCTTAACACCACCTTAAAGATGGTAACTGCTGGTATGGAGAAGTAGTGGCAGGAGAAGGAATAGGGAATCCCTATTCCTATTCCTAAGGGTAGAATTTAGAAAACAGGGATAACACAGCAGTAATTAAGAAAAAAGCCTTTGCCCTTGGTAAGCAATATTTGAAAAAAAAAAAAAGAAGAAGAAGACGGATTTATTTAGGTAATTGGGTTTATAAAGTTAGAAGAACGAAAGCAATGGAAATTGGTTTTTATGAACCAATCGAAATTGTTTCTGTCATTAGATATAAGTAATAAATAGTAATATAATAATTAGTAACACAAACACAAGATCTTCGTTTTTTCTGATTCCCTACTCAACCCTGGATTTCTTCCCCGACTCTCTCTCTCTCTCTCTCTCTCTCTCTCTCTCTCATCTTCAAAACTAACACAATATATATAAAAACAACAACAACAAAAACCCTAATTCCCTCCTTCTCAAGTCTCTCTTTCTCTACAATCCAAATAAACAAACTCTGTTTCTCTGTGACACTAGCCAACCCCCGCACAAATGATCAGGTATTTAGTCAAAACTTATCCTTTTTTAATTCACTCTGTTTTCATTCGCATACCATAATATCATTCAATCAAAGTATCTGCTTCGCACTATCGCTTCACGTTATAATTCTCTCTTTTGCTTTCATCAATCCACCGATTTTTACGTTTTCAGTCATTCTTTTGATCGCTCTCCTCTTGTGTTTTGTTTCTTTCGTTGTGTTTGGATGATACCATCTATTCCAACAAAATCTTTAACTTGGCTATTCATTTTCATTGCATGATGATCATTTTGTTGACTTTCTATCATTATTGTTCCATTGGTTTTACCGGAAGTTCTGATACAACAGAATCTGTGGGTAGGGTTTTCAAATTTTCATTCTTTATGTCATTTACGACAAATGAAACATCTTTCAATTCCGATTTATCTATTAAAATCGATTGAATTTATGCTTCTTCTCAAATCTATACTTTTTGCTTAATTTTCTGAGATTTTAAGATTATTACTTTGCCTGAGAATTCTGATTTTGTCTCGGGTTTTGTTTACCATTTAACACTGAATCTATGGTTGTTGATGCTTTAGAGTGGATGTGATTGGAGCGGTTGGTGTTTGAGATTTTAATAAATTGGAAGAGGGATATTAATGGAGGCTAACATCTGTGACATCAATCACTTGGATGCCGATGTCCTTCTGCCTCCTCGGAAGCGCCTGCTTGCAGGATTTAAGAAACAGGCTTCTAACGCCAATGGTATATTAGATCAGCCTACGGTTGCTTCTTCTTCTTCATCTCCTCCTTCACCTTCACCCTCACCCTCTCCCTCTCCTTCTACTTCTTCAAGCGATGTTAATACCCATCTTAATAATTTATTGAGTTCCCATTTCAATAACTCAAATCTTTCTCCTGAGGAGATTTTGAAGGCCTCGAGAGCAGCAGCTATTGCTGCTGCTAAAGCTGCAGAGGCTGCCAGAGCTGCTGCAGAGGAGAAGGCTGCAATTGCAGCTAAAGCTGTCGCTGCAGCTAAGAGTGCTTTGGACATGGTAGCCACATTTTCTGAAGATACTGTTGGTAAGGATGGATACCTAAAAAAGAATAAACTCAAGAAGCATGTCCCAGTTCAACTCTTATACAAAAAACATCAACCAATTGAGAATTATAGGACAGATGAAGAGATAGCCCGTAGATTGCACCGAGCAATCAACAGTTCTCCAAGAATCTCGAAGAATTCACCAACTTCTGAAGGGAGAGGCCATAAACATAAAAGGCCTAGGAGCTTGGCAACTCTTGAGAAAACAAAGGTTTCCAATGGGGGTATAGTATTGGGAGGAAGCCCATCTTCTACATGCAGTGGAGGTACTATAGCAGGGGAAATTGAATCTGAGGACTTCATTGAGGAGTCAGTTAAAGCAGAGGCAAAGGGAGCCAAATATGAAAAATATGGGAAATCGGAGTTTGATAATGGTGAAGCAGAATCAAGTCGTGCTAAGGAAAAAGCTTGTGAAGATGCGTATTTCCCTCGTAAAAAGAGGGGAAGAGTGAAGCTAAAGAAGTTGCCCTTAAGCATTTGTTCCTTCAGGGATCAAGTGAATCCCAAGGAAGAAATGATTGTTGAGAGCTCTCCATTGACCGAAAAGAACATGGGTAATCTGACTGCTGCTGTTAATCCCTTGTTTTCTCTGGAGCCCTCTGCTGATTGTGTTATTCAAATTGAAGGTACACCAATGTGGAAATGCCAGGATTTCAAGGCCCCTGCATGTATCAAACAAAACAAAGTCATGCAATCATAATGTTTAAATCCTGTTCTTATAATCGGTGGCTTCAATGATAGAAGTTAATAGCTGAGGTAGGATTTGTGGTTCTCTTTTGATAGGAATGACTTTACACCATTTATCTTTTTGCTCATCTCTGGTTTTGTAACGAAGTTGAATTGAAAGTGTATATTGGAATGTTCAATTGCTTGCCTCTACACTTTACTAATAGTGCTTGCTGCATAAAATGACAGCAATAGTTGAGATAAAGAGGAATGCAATAAATTTAGATGGTTCCTTGTTAATTTTTTTGTATATTCATCCTGCTTTCTGGGATGATGCTAGATATGTTACAACTTTAATGCCTCTGGTATTGTTTTTTCTGCAGTTGATTCATTATGTTGTTCTCCTTTATCTATTTTCTTTTATGGTTGTTCTCCTTTATTTTGAATTATTGCTGTATGAAATTCCTTATTGTTGCTTATTAGTTGCAGTATTGATGGATACAGAAACAATTTCAAAGTCTTATGAGTTTAATGAAGGATATCTGTGAAGTTGATGTGCTCAAAAATGATATACACCTTAGCATTCAATTCAATCATCTAACAATGGCGTGTGGTTCGATAATGATTTTTCTCGTCAACAAAGGATTTGGCTTTTTTCTTACTATGTTGCTGTAAATTTGATGAATTGAGAAATCTTTGTCTGAAGTTCATCGAGGACATGCTGACAGTTGCTGGACTTTGGTGCTTCACCATTTGTTATTGGTTTTATTCCGAGAAAGAAGTGCCTTGTTGTTAATGGCATGCATGCTACTCTGCTTCAGGACATGCGGTTATCGTGAAATGTTTTAAGTTCTTACAAAATAGCAGAAGGATATTTGCTTAAAAGTCTTCTTTGTAGGTAGAGAAAGAGAAAGATCCCGTTACTTATCTGTGTAGGTCTCTTAACTAGTTGAATGCAATCTATGAACTCCATGATTTAAGCGAGTTTGCGTTGGAAGAGACTCCGGCTCCGTCTTGACACTAGACAAGAGCAAATGAACCTTCTTATCTAACTTAAGTGATGTCTAAATTCTAAACTTTATTGATCTTACATGTCATCTGTGCTCATGCTTCTAAGTTCGAGCTGGAGCAAGTGGCTTGATCTGCAATGTCACCTTTGCATTGTATTTCTAGGAACTATTTTGGTATTTCTACTTGGATTGTCAGTTTGCCAGTAATCAGGAAACAAGTTATATAAACAAGAAAACAAATGAAGGTAATTCTTTTACCACTGCATCAAACAAATGATCAGTAATCGTGCCAATTAGCTTTCGGGAAGTTCTCAGGAAATTTTCTCGATCCAAAGTCAGAACATCTTTAAATTATCAATTTTCTGCCACAAAACTGAATTTGGAAATCATTTGAACTATGATTTTCCTTCTATCTTTGGCACAAAAATTTATAATTTTTTTTATAAGATAGATCCAACTTGAAATAGAAAAAGAAAGATGCAAATACTGAAATTTAAAGCTTTAAATTAGTTGAAAGTCACTTTGTTTAAAGAGATTGCATGAGACAATTAGACTAAACCCCGATTCGTGTAATTCTATAATTACTAATAAGAGAATGCAACCAATTGAGAAGATTCAAGAGGGGTACTATGCCCGTCATTGTGAAGTGCTGTATTGTTCACTGATAGAAGACAGTAGATTGATAAGGAAGATATTTTTATGGCCTACTTTTAACTTTTTTAGCACTATAACGATAACATCAACCATGAGAACCTCGTACTTACCTTTTTTTTTTTTAATTTTAATTGTTTGGAGAAAGAAGATTAGAATCTAGCAACTAATTTAAGCACAGCAGCATCAAGATCCATGTCTTGGTTCCTCTGATCCTCTGGTTATCCCGAGTTCTGGCACAGAGTTAAAAGTCGTCAATGGCAAAAACAAAAAGCATGTAAATATCAAAGTTTACTGATAAATATATGGACTTAATCGGACAAAAACCCAAGTTTGAAAACTGTCATTCACATTTCATATTTAAAAGCCACTTGTGATCGTGTGCAGTGCAAGGATTAAGAAACTCTTGATATTGTGATCAGTTTCTTAGCTGGAAACGGTAGTTCTGTTGTTGAATCTTAAACTGAACCCAAAAAAGACAGACAGGATAGGGGAAAATCTTAATTTTAACTCAAGCAACCAGAAGAGAAGGCAGAAGTATGGATTTAGCACAAATTGTTAGAGCACAAGGCAAGGCATGTTTCATTTCTTGGTTTTCCGTCAATTGTTGATGTTTTATGGCTGGGACCAGCCCCCACCTATCACTTGACCAAATCAAATGCGAAAGCAAGAAATCGCCTAAACGAAGCAAAATGCATCCTGAAATAAACTTTTCTAGTATTTAGAAAAGCGAGAGGTTATTTTCCTTTTCATATTCATTCATGCGTTGCTCCTCCCGTCTTTGTCGTGCCAGAAGAATATGCTTTTTTCTTCCTTGAGCTCCTTGGTATTCAGGCCCAATGCTCCAAGGAACTCGATTTGCTACACCGTTAGCATGGCAATGGCAGCCTCGCTTTCTTTCCAAGAAACTACGGACACTGACCCAAAATCAACGTTTTCTAGGTCCACCACGGTTCACCTTGAATTCCCTTGAAATTAGTTGCAGCCGGAGCCTCCATCCATATATACTGTACTACATTAGTCCAACCATATATACTGTACTAAATTAGTTGGACCTTGTTATCAAATACAACGCCGGTGACAGCTAAACGGATAGGCGCAGCACTTACTTGCAGATGCAGGTTTAATGGACAGTTAAACTGCAAGAGAGATGTTGAGAAGCTGTCACAAGCTTAATAGGCCACAGGGTTTTTAAGTACGTAGCCACTAGCCCCATAGTAAGTGCAACTAGTGTTATTCTGTAAGCTGATTGATTGCTCTTGGCACCTAGCCAACGGCTGAGGCCAATGCTTTTAATCTCTTGATTGGTATTTGGTAGTAAGTTGGTAATATTTGAACCCAGATTCATCCCACCCCTTTCCACTACTAGAATTGCGCGGTAGCCAAGAGTACAAATCATTCAGCCAGGTTGATCTTCAAGATCTTCTACATGACAGGACCGCATAGAAAGGATACAAAACTTGCAAGTGATACATAACTGATCAAAACTTCCAGCAGAATCGCAGGATAATTACTTGATTATGGTGTTACTGTCAATCATGATATGTACGCAACTAAGCATTAATTAAAGAATGTGAAGAAACACATTATGTAACACAAGTGCCCCTAGTTTCTGTCATCGCAGTTAAACTCCCCTCAGCCCATGTCATTTCGTCACAACAGTTATTGCTTTACATTTGGTTAATCATTAATAAAAAAAATAGATCTTATTAAAATGTCACAAAAAAAAAAAAAAACACACAATCAATACTCGTACAGGTGGAGGGAGGGACATGAAATTGATGCAGCTGTTCCGACATCTTTAATCCCTGGTTCCTTTGCCCACCTTAAATCTGAAGGTTGCTCATTCCAACATCCACGTTAGATTGACCATGCATCTCATTCTGATCTGAGCTCCTTAGATTGAGCCACGGGTGTTGCAGACACTGCTCAGCAGTTGGTCGCTTCTCCGGTGAAAAATCCAGAAGAGGACAAAGAAACTCTGCAAACTCACAAGCATCACTCTCAGAGAATTTGTATTTATCCACCAACAATCGATCAAGTGGCCAGAACTTCAGCCTCCGAATCCTCTTTAGATCCCCATGCCTGTCAAAAAAATCCTTTGATCGAGCTCCTCCTATTGCAATCTGCTCACAGAAGCATAAAATAAAATGTGTATCATAATAATTTTATAAATACGAGAGGACATTAATATAGAAATAATTTTACCTTTCGAGGCATCTTTCCAAGAAGTTCCATCATGAGAGCAAGGTGATCCTGGAAACAAACAAATGAAAAATGTTATTCCTAGTGGTCCTTTTTTTCTCTTTTTATTTATGAGGTCGTTGTCATTACTATAACAACCTATAAATATAAGATAAAAAAAAAGTTGGCATTTTCATAATAAATGTTAGTCAAAGATAATAATTAAATCTGACAAAGAAGTGCCTTTCTTAGAAGCACAACACACTTCATATAAATATATATATAATTTAATTTGCTTTATATAAAAACAACAGGATTATTATGATTCAGGCCGAGTTCTACTCAGCACATCCCTCTTTTATTGCATTTTCCGGTATGACAACCAGAAGAAAAAAAAAGGCAACTCACACCATACTGGCAGGATTAGAGGGGAAAGAGGATAAAAACTCTACCCTCATAGCTGCAATGTGTGTAGAATACCTAAATAAAATAGTTAAAGAACAAAAAATGATCCTGATCAGCCATCATCTCAGTAAAATATAAAACGTCAAGAATGTCTTGTTTTCATTATTTGCCTTTCTCTCTATTCCTTCAAACACATACAATGCAACAACGATAAGGAAGTCAGCATGTGCAGAAAAGACATTTCAAAAGCAAGATGCATAGAACAACCGTACCTCATCATCGCTAAATCCTTGTCCGCTTTTAGGGGCAAACATCATGTCACCGGTAGCAAGCTCAAAGGCTGTGCAAGCAAATGACCACATATCAACAGAAAAGGAATACCCAGCACGAAGTATGACCTCAGGAGCTCTATATTGCCTCGTTTGAATTTCTTCTGCAAATTGTTTGTCAGCCCAACATGCATTTCCGAAGTCCACAACCTTGCACCTTACATCAATTCCATCTAGACATCTTGCAGATTTTGGAGCTTCTCCACCCATAGAAGCTCTTCTAACAGATATATTAGCAACTGCTCTTCTAGCCCTCCTTTTCAATTTTTTCTCAATTATGTTCATAGTAGATCCACCATTTAGGGTGCCCCCCTCAGGCCTTTCAAGAATTGGAGTAAGAGCAGATCTAACTGGATCCTTGGCATGATCAATGGTGGAAAAGAGAAGAATATTTTCAGGTTTGAGGTCAGTGTGGATTATACCAAGTTCCCCATGCAAGTAATGCAGGCCTATCAAAATGCATTTGCATATCTCCCTAACTTTATTCAATTCAAGCCCTTTGTAACGGTTAAACCTTATTAATCCAAGTAAGCTATCACCAAGGAATTCAAGGACCATGCAAAGATGTTGCCCATTTGGGCCAGTGTGCTTAAAGTGGTCAATCAGGTGCACCACACACTTGGAATTTGAGGGGTCACCATTAGCAATAGATAAAAGGACTTCAATCTCATGAAGGGCAGCTTGAGCAAATTGTTGTGCACTTTTCTGAATCTTTAGAGCAACATATTTCTAATTAAAAAAAAAAAAGTTTTAGATAATGCAATCATGCTACTCCAGAAAATTCAATTTATGATTGATGGGGAGAAAAAAGAGAATACAAGCACCACTACTTTTTTGAGAGATTTTGTAATTGCAAAATTAGCAAAATTCTAAAGTTAGAAAAAAGAAGGCTT